TCATCAAATTTATCAAGTAGAAATCTGGGTGGATGGGTGGATGAAGGAAAAATCGAAAGTAAACATATTTTCAGAACGATTCAAATTTTTAAGACTTTTAAGCTCTGCAGTCCCCGTATCCAGACGGCAGGTAGCTAAAGCCTTGGATGAGAAGCTGAGCAAGCTGCCCTCGAACCAGCGGAGTTCATTCCTTGTTGGCGCCTTGGGGTCGCCATTTCTGTGTCGATGGGAACAGTAGATACTCCCTTTCACTGGTTTGGAGGATTTAAATGGATTCAACACATAGGGGATGTGTTATTATTTGTGTTCATTTTTTTTCGAACCATAAAGGTTTCCTGAGAATTTCACTAGACCACTGGTACATGTAGATTGCCTTGGTAATTTGGGTCCCAGTGTACTGCAATGCAAAATGGTTGGGATGCATCACATTTTTTTTTTTTTGGCTGGCATCTTAGGTTCCCAGGAACGGTGGGTTACCGGAGACGGATGCCTCTTTGGCACCCCCGCAAGAAGAGTGTGTGTATTTGGTCGGGTGCGCCACTTCGCTGTTGGGACTGCTGACATCGCATGACATCGGGAATTCCATGGCTTTGGACAGAGGAATTCCCTGGGCCTACAACCCAGCAAGACCAAGGAGCTGGTTTGCGAGGCGATGGTCGATTCTTTAGCTGTACTAGATGTACTAGTAGCTATAGAAAGCTATAGACCTGATAACCTCGTTCTTTCATGACTGGAGGAATTGGATAAATGGGCATCCTTGGGCGTAAACGGCCACTTCACAGGGCCAGGTTCTCAGCAATCGCAAAGAAAATTGCTGTCTTATGTAAGATCCAAGGGTCAATGAGGTTCCAGTCGCAACCATTCCAAGTGCATATTTCCGCAGCTTTGTTTAGATTCGTAAGGCCGTTTTGTTGCACTTACGCAGTTTGCAAAGCTCTTACCTGAGGGACCGCCCCTGGATGCCCATTGATGAGAACGTTCTTGAGCCCGGTCCAAAGCCGCACACACGACAAATCTTGCAAAGCAGAAGCGGTATAAGGGAACAGATCTGCAAAAATTTTGTAGATATTAGATGAGAGTCAAGATAGTCAAGCAAGACGGTCAGACTGGTGAGAGTTGAATTAATCTTGAAATTCTTAGGCAGAGTGCCAAAGTAGTTGGAGCAGAAAAGTCCGAGGCGCGCAACAACTTGAAAGTTAGGGTTGTTCATCATAAAACAATCCAAAGGGATGCATTGTTGTGTTAACGCTCCTCGGTGGTGTTTATCAACAGGTGGCTATCATGAACAGCCTTACTGTGAATTTGCACTTGCTTTTTGCAGCTCGGCTGATAGCTCGCCGGTGAGAAATGTTATGCTTGCTGTTTGCAATTGGTTGCGTAGTACTGTAATGTTTGTGTGCTGATTGCTAGAAATTGCAACTGAGGTGTCCTTTTTTAGACCAAATGGCAAGCGCAACAAGATCATGTACGAGGTGGCATACTGAGCATACTGGAATCATCCGGAGTCACATGGTAGGTTGGGTTATACCTGCTACTGAGAAGATGTTTTTTGATGTTTTTTGCATGTGGCAACATGACTCGAAATCTTGAAAGGATCTCCGACACGAGACCGGGGAAAGTGCACTTGTGAAACTTGGTTTATCTTGGTTTGCTCTGCCTGACGACCAGGCTGCAGCTTTTGGTTCGGACTACTTTGCCTTTGAATCACAGGCTGATTTGTGAAATATGAATTAAATGTGATCAAATTGGATCCGGCATTTGAGGTCCCCAATTTTGGCATCCCCAGTTCCCATCCCGTGCCGTCCAGGCACGACTTCATGGCCTTGACCCAAAAGAGGTCCTGCTGCCCATCAAGGCGAGGGATCAGGAACTGCTTCGGACTGAAGATATTGTGTCAGCCATAGAAGCCCTCGCCTCAGACCATGCAGAGACCATGCAGCATGATGCAGCAACAATCACCGGCTTTCCAGAGTTTTCTAAGAGATACCTATATCATCCTATATGTGTATATATATAATATTATATATAAGCTATTGCATTATAATTTATATATATATATACATATGGACATGAATGATATCAAACGACGATTCATTTGAGGCTGCGGGGGACACCCTCGCAACAGTTTGTTTCGGCACCGTGCAGTGCGACATCAAGGAGACTCTTGTTTTATTGAGGTTGTTTGAGGTTTTTTAGATGTGGGTTTGTTTGAAAATAGGTTAATTACCCCAAAATCTTATGGTTGACCATGTTGATCATCGATTTCTGGATGGAAAATTGATCTAATTTGACCAGAGATAGATCCATTTAGGGGTATACTCCATTACTCCTGTTTTCAGACAAACCCATATAACCAATGTTTTTTTACTGTTGGTTCTTTTTCTTTTGCTTCCTTCCACTTCCAGGTACTACACAGGGCAATTCTTCGACGTCCCAACCATCACAAACGCAGCTCACAAAGTCGGGGCTACGGCTTCGTCCTCGGAGTCTTCGGAGTCCTCAGATTCGACTCTGAACTTGGAAAGGTTGCAGGAAATAGGTGGATTCACATGGGGGGATACCAGAAAATATATCAAAATATATCAAAGATTATTTTGATAAGGAAAGTATGAGATGAAAAGTTAAGCCATGTTATGTTAAACAATGGGACTTAAGGGGTTTATTTTTGGACAAACCCACTGTTCCAAATTGCCTCGTTATTTTGAGGCAATGTGGGATTGCGCTCATGCTGTTGGCAATGTCGCCGACGCCTCGGCTTTTGATGGACAGGTTTTACGTGTTCAAACAACTTGAAAGCCGAGGACTTGAAGTTGCACGAGTGGGAAGTTGATGGTGCATGTTGGTCTTGCCCTCAAATATTTGTTGACACACCATGAATTGCCAGAACAAAATCACCACATCCAGCCTGCTGGAGCAGGTGTAACTACAAGTACCTCAACTCTGGTCCTGGAGCCATTGGTGGGTTCTTTGTTCACCGCAAACACCATGACAAAGGTGCGACGCAACAGAGCTTGTCCGCCCGATTTAGCCGGCTGGTTGATGCAAATGGTTTTTGGTTGAACGCGACTATCTCGGAAAATGCCACATAATTCATTTCGGACAGTACTGCTTGTGAAATGTCAAACGAGAAGAGGCACCACTTTCAGTATCTATGTTTCTTAGAAGTATGGTTCTTGCTTCTCACTACTCTTCAATACATTTCAGACTAATTCACACATCAATTTATAGTCACTTTGATTTTGAGAAATAGCAACACGTTGCCTCAAGAGTGGTTGCCCTGACTCTTCGTGCAGGCTTGCCTCTCCTTGCGGGATGGTGGGGTCAAAAGCAATCGACACGTTTCAACATGGCGCATAACTGGGACCCAGAGGCGCCATCTGTTCTCGTCGAAATGGGTCATTTCAGTCTGAACTGAAATATCATTCCAGATACCCTTTGGTAAACGTTTACATAGCTATTGAAAATGGCCATTTATATATTTTTCCCATGTTTTCCCAGTAAAAATATGGGGATGTTCCATAGTTATGTGGCTGTTTACCAGGCCGGGTATATCCAGATCTCACTTTCCGAAGTTGGATCCCGATCTCCAGGCAGACGCTGGAGCTTGGCGCTTATCCAACCCACCGGTCTTGCAGACCGTGTCGTTGCTGGCGAGCCTGGAGGTGTTCTCCAGGCGATGTGGTCGTCAGCCCACTTCGGTAAAAAGATTGGAATAATATGAAAATAGCATAAAATAGCTATCATATTGATTAATATTTTAATATATATTGTATTATTCTATCATTATATATATATATATATTATATATATTGATGAATATTATAATATATTAATATGAGATGTTATTGGAATATCATGATGTATCAATATTTAATATTAGTAATAAAAAGATTGAGATTTTTTTTCTGTATTATGAGCTATCATGATATTGAGATAATTATAGATATAATAGATTATAAGATATATTGCAAAGCATGTTGTCTTACCAGAAATGGATTGGTTCCTCAACCATCTCAACAAAATATTGGTTCAATCCACCAATGAAGATGGTTTCGTTTATATATTGGGATCGTTTGCATATCATTCAATTTTTCAGAAAAGGGGTTGGATTGAAGCCATTTGCAATGGGAGGTTGTGGGATAGTGAAGGTTTTTTCATCGACTAGCAGACGAGCAGGACCACCATGGCTGAGCTGCGGGGAAAGTCATGAACTCAAAGTTTGTAGCGGCGTAGAGACTTCTCGGAGTGCAATTTTTTGCGCAAGTCAATCACATTACCCTCTGGTAAACAGCCACATAACTATGGAAAATCACCATTTTCAATGGGAAAATCCACTATAAATGGCCATTTTCAATAGCTACGTTAAATTACTAGAGGGTATTTGAGTGGATTGCAGGTTTCCTACTAAAATCTCATGTGTTTCCAGATAAGCTGCACGAGGTCTATGCTTTTGACTACTTATTTGGAGTCGCTGCTGAGAGATTCTTTTGGAGCAGACTTGAGCGCTTCGAACTCGGAGCACAGCAGAGCACAACTTGAGCGCTTGTTGTTGAAGGCAAAAGTATGGTGTTGGATTTTGAACCACATTCCGCCAATGAAAATGAAACCAGATGATAGTCTATCTATATAGATCTATATAGTACAATTGCAGCAATGTGAAGTGTTGATCTTGTGGACACTTGATTTCTCTCAAAAAATCACAGTTCTGGGAAGGTTGAAAATTCTGATATCCCCGGTTTTATCACCAGTGACCAGGTGATCACTCCCTCACTTCCAGCTCGAGGTTGTCAACTTAGTCTGAAATTCTCACAGGACTGGCTGGATGGCTGGAGATGGCTGGAGATGGCTGGAGGTTACAAGATCAATGGCCCAGATGAATTCAGTGGCCAGATATGATATGACCAAGTGCAACAAGTGCAACCAAATCAATGATTGATCTGGATTTGAAGGAGAAAGCATGCTTGGCAACCTTCTCTGCACTGGAAAAGCGTGGCATCGCCTTGATCCCAGAGACCTGCAGAGCAAAGATGTTGAGGATATGATATTTATATAATGAGTTTTAATGACATGTTGTCCCATCAAGGCCAGATTTGCTATAGATGTTTAGTACTGCTAAGTAGTCTATCAATAATCAGAACATTCATCATACAATATGCTCTCATTGCATGTCCCTCTAAGAGACTCAGGTTGTGGACCACCGAAAGCCTAATGTCATCCGGGTTGCACCTGCACCCCTTTACAAGTGACCTGGCCTTGTGGCTTTGAGTCCATTATTTTTTCGCACGCAGCACGCAGAAGTCACTGAAATCATACCCTTGGCATCATCGTGGCCAGTACGTTCGTGGATGTGCAACGTTTTTGCGCAGCCTTCAGAGAAGCTTTGGAGGAGGCCGAAGGTTTTTTTGCTGTGGAATCATCCCACAAATGACCTTGTTTCATCCCCTTGTAGGCAACTGGGGAGCCTGCTGCCAAGCGGGCTAAGGCCAGAGCACGTGAGTGCGAAATGGGTCTGAAACTGCAGGATGTGGTAGGGAGTGGCTGTTTCAGTGGTGAAATTGGTGATAAACACCTCTGAAACATACTGAAACCATGGAATTCTGAGGTACCCTATTTTCAGACAACCCGGAATAGTTGCAATTAAGGGGATTGGCCGTAGTGCTTGCACAGGCGTGATGCAGTCCCTTGATGCAGTCCCTTGGGCTGTATCCAAGGCGCGCTGATGAGGTGCAGATCAGTGTGCTTGGAAAAAGGTTCAAAAATGGCATGCTGATGTATGGCATTCAGTTGGGGAATCAAAAGCAACAAGAATACCAAGAATATCGAAGAATAGCTAGCAAAACTCCGGTCCGAGAAGAGCCATGACATGTCATGAAGACAATGAAGATGTGCTTCGCGCTTTGTAGGTGAGCAGCTTGGCATCGGGGCCCTCCTGCTCATAGTCTTAACTCTTGACGTTGTCCGCTTTCTCGGGCAAAATGTGTCGGCAGCTGCACAAGATTCCCAAGTGTCCCGAGATGTAGGGATTCTAATCTTTGATATTAGATGATACTGGTTGGTGGTTTGGAACATTTTTTATTTTCCATAATATATGGGATAATCCTTCCAATTGACTAATATTTTTCAGAGGAGTTGAAACCACCAACCAGGATATTATATTAGTGTTCTTCGAGATATTTGGACAGTCGTGTGCCTGAGCAGTGGAGAAAGCTTCTGGTTTCTGGCCGATTTCGTGGCTCATTGGGCGCTGGAACCCACGTCAAGTAGATAGGTGAGACAACCAGATCATAACCAACCAGATTTCAGACTACCTGACAGGCCTCCTGCCAGGGCTCTTCACTGCTTGAAGTCTTTTCGTGTTGAAGACAGGATTCTGAGCCAACCCATTTGTGATCAGTCAATATAGTGCAGCAATGCCCTCTCACAGACCACTTGCTGTTTGCTTATTAAAATGCAAAGTGATGTCACTATGTCACTTGTTCAGAGGATTTGACAAATTGTGTCTTCAAATTGTGCAGCGTGATGCCATGGTTTCGGAAACCATTCAGGCTGGTAGAATCAACTCTTCTAGATTTTCTGGAATGTGAAATGACAAAACACACACGCAACGACGTTGTCTACAGCATTGCAAAGCTAAATTCACTAGTTAGTGTTCCAATGAGTTTACTCCCCTGACAGGAGGAGAGTAGCGAGGCTCTCCATCCTTTTGACACTGCAAGGGCTCGGCAGCTGTATCATGCTGTATCATGCTGTATCATGCTATATGGAGGTTTCCGAAAATGAGAGTACCCGCTACCCCCAAATCATCCAAAATTGATTATAGTCAATGGGAAAACCAATGGTTCGGGGTACCTATATTTCAGGAAACCTCCATTTTTTGCTGCATTTGTGTCTATAAAATTCCAACATATTCCAACGATCTCTGATGTCATGATTAAGCTGGCTCAAGTAGATTCTTATCAGACAGTGCCGCCGTGATTTCTTGGCGTAGAATCGTTCCATTGGCTTTCAACATGAAGCCTTTCCGCCCAGTATTGACAGCTTTGACTCTGCTACTGGGGCTGGTCGTTCTGCAGATGCCCTTTGCATTTGTGTCAAGATCGCCAATGATGCTGCGCAATCCGACGCGGCAAGTTGGCACTGGAATGAGGTTTAAGCCAGGCATCAAGGTAAAAAAGATGTCCAAAGAAGAGGCTGATAAGCAATTCGGAGTGTCATCTTGGCCCACCTGGGGCTGTGGTGTCTCCAAATTTGACTGGGAGTACAGCGGCACAGAAACTGCCTACATTTTGGAAGGTGAGGTTACTGTGACTCCTACTGGTGATTGGGCAGATGTTGATGAAGCGAAGATTGAAGCTGGTGATTTGGTGACGTTTCCAAATGGAATGACCTGCATTTGGGATGTGAAAAAACCTATCAACAAGCATTACAATTTCTCCTGAAGCACAGAAGCTACGCCGCCTCGTGTGCAAAATGGAACTCTGCAATCATGTTTGCCATGCTGTCAAGGCTGTTCATTCCTGGTCTACATGGGTTTGCCTAAAAATTGGGTTTGTAGATACAATTGAATCCACTGATTAATCATCACAATTATTCATTGTATTCGCCATGAAAAAGTATTGCCATGGCCACCAAACGTACAGAAAATCTTCCACCTTTAGACCTTGGTGATCCTTGCAAGGCATGGCGGCAAGCCTTGCTGAGCAAAATTGCTGGAGAGGATGTTGGGATCTAAGTTTTCAACGAATTGGTTTTGTTTTGTGTGGAATAATCTGCAGGAAAGCCCGATTAGATCTGGTTAGGAACCCCCCACATGTGGGTTTTTTTCCCACCAATTTGGAGATATGTGGTGCTAGCTGATGCTGTTTGATCTTGTTCTTCTGGCTATTTGCTGAAGATGGCACAATTTGCAGCGCCAAAACTCAGGAGTTGACTGGTGAGGAGTTAGAGCGTCACGATCAATTCCTCAAAGCTAAAGAGGATCAATTCCTGGGGTCTGATGGGTCAAACTGAACAAAGGGTCGGCGAAGAGAATAAGCGAATCGTAAGAGAATCCATGTGTTTCTTGTCCATAACTAGAGTATACTTGTACCTCATACCCATAGGCCCCAAAAAAGTGACCATCCATACAATGAGGCAAGTGATGATTAACCATTGGATTTGTTTAAAGTTTAAAGACTAAACCTAGTTCTTTCATAGCAATGGATTTCACGCCAGGAAGCTTTGGCTGCACTTTCAAGCCAGCAAGAGACCTCCACCAAGAAGGCCTTGAAGGGTAGTAAGAAGTGGATGTTTGGAGAAGAAATGGATGCTTTTCTGTTTAGATTGATCTAGATAGACATTTTGGACCGAGGACCATCATGATTCTTAAGCCTTGACCCATATGTCACGTCCCCATGTACCAACGTAAGGGGACACCTGAATGGTAGACATCAGTGTGCTCCTGAGCTTTGCTCCAGGTTGCTGGTCATCGAAGATCCCAGCAAGTGCGCAGCAGACTCAGATCAATCAGATCAGCTGCAGTCCAGAGTCCAACCATCACAAGTTGGGTAGGCACGAGTAGATGAGAGTAGCAGTGCCTGAGGTTTTGAAGGCAAAGCCTTTGATGAGGCGATTGGCTCAGTCTCTCACGTTGTGCTGGACGTTGGGCATCCATCGATGTGCTGAGGAAACTGCCAGAAAGTTGGATGTGATTGCTGGAAGGGCTGTGAAGGAGGGAAATAAGCTGGAAGCTGCTGGAAGATAACTTGAATATGTTTGAAGTCCTTTGTCATATTTGTAATTATTTGTATATATTTGTGCACTTGGTTGGCTTGTCCTGGCCAACTTCCCGCAGCACTCAATCATTGGATGTGTATGGATGTTCGATCATTTTGCAGGATGGCACGCGCCGCGAAATGGAAAGATCCAAACAGGTTCAAGCTTTTGATGGGTTCTTCCGAAAGACTACAGTAAAAGCAAAATTGCAACATGCTATTTAGCACTCCATGCATGAGGGAAGCTCTTGGTGGCAGGCAACCCAGGAAATTGCTGCAGCCAGAGCTGAGGTCCGGTCTTGCAGCAAGGGTTGGAGGTAGCATCTAGGGAGGTTGGCTTGATAGAGGCAAAGCTTTCGTCCATCACAGGCTGAGAGTGCTTTGCAAGCAGCGACAAAGTTGCCCAACCAGAAGGCACCAAATGAGATCACAACTTGCTGCAGTCCCCGTGAAATGAGTGGAGGCAACCGTGGCGCCATCGTGGATCTCCGATGAAGAGTACAAGGATTGGCGTCTCTTTTTTTTGTCACACTTTTGAACCATTTCTATCCATTTCTATCGGGACCTTTTTATCTTATCATTGCAAAGTATTGCAAAGTATAGAGATGTAAGTGTTGCCAAGACGACCGCAGGAGCTTGGGTATCCTCAGCTGGACCCGAAGTTTCGAGACAAAGAGCCCGTAACTCAGCTGGCCCAAAGGCCATTGCTTTTTGTTTCCGTCGCTGCAAGAGCAGATGATTTGGTTTCATTGTGGAATATCGCTGAGGTGGCAAAAAAAGCAACTTCAGTTGGACAGGCAAAGCCTGTGACACTTGAAATATTTCCAGTATTTTCCTGTGATTCTGTTACTGTTCAGCTCTCGAGCTCTCAGTGCTTTCGTGGCTGATTTGCCCTGGCAGTACCGATCCGCGGCACAATCCAAATCTCAATCGAGATCAGAACGATCCGGAGTTTTGGTACCATGCTGCACGGAAGCCTTTCAACAAGGCTCCCAAGATGCTACCAAAGGATCAAAGGGAATGCAATGTACTTGATATGATTCCGGTTTTTTTTCCTTGTGATCCTTGTGTTGCACCGATGTGGAGCTAGCTTTCAAGGATAAAATCTGAATTCCTGTTCAAGGGTTTTCGTTATCCTCGAAGTCCTTGAAGTGTGCTAGGCTTTGCTGCGCACAGAGCAGCATTGGAATAGCCGACGAGAGGTGAATCACTGAGTTTCGGGCTGCCAATCGGATTCCCCCATTCTTCATTTATATAATGGTTGGAACCTTGATGCTGTTTCGCGGAAAATCCATTCAAGGTTTGGCTGAAGCAATTTGAGCAGGCACTGAACTGAGTCGACTCTTCCGTGTTGTCAAGTTCCTGTGACAATGCATGGTACCTTTCACTGCGATTGACAGAACAAAATGACATCATGACATCCATGTACATTTGCCAAAGGTGAAAGACATGAATCAAAAACGCGAACTTCTGGCAGAATTGCTTGAGGCAAGGAACCCATCAGCAGGTTGAAGTTGAAGCTATGATGTGATGTTGATTATACATACTAGCATTGTTTACCAACATCAATCAATGACATTGTGGGACAAAGCATGTATTCGCAACTCAGATAATCTCATATCAGTCATCACCAAATTGATGGTGTCGTGGCTGACTACCACTCGTAATATCACATCATATCACATCATATCACATGATATCCATTTATATCCTATCAGTCCTATCATATCATATCATGTTCTTTGGTTGTTGAGTCACTTTCTGATTCACTGATTGACCCGGGCGTCGCAGGACTGCTCCACAGAGGTGAAACGCTTGGTGGCGCCCATTCTCCACTTCAACATCACCATGAAAGTTTTGACCGGTTTCGTGGAGAAGGCTGGAAAAAATCATGGAAAAATAGAATGGAGAAATATTGGGAGAAATGTATTTTTAAGGGGAAGAACTAGTAGTCACTAGCATACTTGGGAGGTTTGGGTCGGACTTGGACTTATTGAGAGTTGAAGTTGGAAGGCAAAAAATACATTTGAATATGATTGAAAGATAATCAAGTGATTCAGACCTGGAAAGGGAGCAAAGATGCAGAAGAGCTTCGAAGAAGTTATCTCCGCCGAGGAGATCGATGCAGCAGCACTTTAGCAGCTCTCTGTCTGCCCCTTTTTGCGTGAGGAAAGCTTGGGCGTTCTACAAGGCATTCGAAACAGAGTCGACGAATTTGGAAGTCAGGAGCGGAGGGTATGGAATGTAGAGTCAAGAAGCTCATAAACATATTAACAACGTAAAACCATATTTGTTTATTAAAGACTCATGGAAATTCTCGCCTTGGTCTCATCCTATTTCTGCTCGTTGGGAAGGCAGCGGAAGATATGCTTGTGGAATATGATGCTCGAGCAAGGAGTCACCAACGGCCTTGGCGAGATGGATTTGTCGGGGTGATACGAGCGAACTGGATACTGCAACCCCATTGATTACCCCATTGATTAATGCTACCAGTTTACTGGTTGCCTCCATTTGCGGATATAGCATGATCATATATGGACCCATATGATTATCCTTGTTGTCCAAATTCAAGCTGTAGTAGCTCTCTTTATATGGAACTTGCTTGCCAGGAGCCTTGCAGAAGAAAGACAAGCCCAGCAGGGCGAGGACAGTCAAAACTTTGAGTGACGAAGAGATTTGGGGAATCCGCTCGAGCGGCTTGTGCAATGGCACCCTCCTGCTGCAGGAAAAAAGAGTAGCTGATGTTCACACATTGGCTCAGATCATGAATTGGGGGCAGAAGTGCAAGAAGGCCAGTCATACAGCTTCAGTCGAAAGCAAGAATCTGGCTTCAAGTGTCAAAATGCATTCCTTCATGTCACGTCCGACTCTCAAATTATCTAACACCATGACCATGCCACAACAGGATGGCCTTGTCGAGTGGGAACAAGGAAATTGGGCAGAGGCATATGTCAGCTGGAGGCCGTTCAAAAATGACAGATTCCTAGGGGTTGGACTGAGTGGAACACAGCGTTTCACTATCGGTGGAGTGTCAACTCGAAGCTTCTCGAAGCCACATGGTATGTCTTGTTCATAGGGACGGACCGCAATGCACTGGGGATTCCTTTGAGGCAAGCAGACGACACGTTGCGACCCTTCAAGGCAGGTCGAATGGAGTGGAGCGCCAAATCCTGCTATGTTGGACCCAGCAGGCAGCAGACAAGGAGAATGGACAACTGCTTTCTGAACTTCATGGAGCTGTGGCGAAGAATCTCTCCCAGGCTCTCGCGTTTTCATGTTTGTTTACCCAAATCAACTAGCTTGCTGTATTCGGTTGAACCAAGATCAGTTGACTTGGCAGTGCTTCTTCCACGTCAAAATGTGTTTGAAAGAATAACTAAGGTGGCTTTTATCAAGGTTGAACTTGAGACAAAAAATAAGCCCAGGCAGTATCCCCAACAGCAAGATGATAGGAAACGTGACAGCAGCCAGTGAACACCTATATCAAGTTTCAACCCTGGTGGCGGGCGACCCACCCTTAGAACCACCACAGAACCACTCCGGAAGCTGCAGCAAAATGTCCAATCATAAGGAACCACCCGGAACCACCTCGTCACCCACACCAGAACCTCCCCAAACCAGCCTCCCGAACCTCCCGGAACCAGCCCAGAACCCGCACTTTGCTGCACCGGAACATCCCGGAACCACCTGGAACCTGGACGGGAAGCTGCACCGAACCTTACCTGGGCTGAAACCCCCAAGCTTACCCTGTTGGGGAATAAATTGTTTGAGGTGGATGTGCGTCTCCAAAAGTCAGTTTGACAACCCGTAAGTCAAAAAACAACTCTCGCTTCGGATCCTGTTGCTGAAGGCTTGACAAAGGCAAAGGAGAAATTAACCACAATACCAGTACAAGTAGTTCCAAGTAGTTCCGAGAGTCTTCTTTCCTCAACTTGTCATGAGAAGATGCGAACCTATCCGTGTGATTCGTGTGTGTGTGTGTGAAATACTGTGAAATCAATCCTCCTTCAAATTTCAGCTACGAAATGGGGAGGACTTGGGCTACAGTACAGATTGCCAGCCAGGATTTTTTGTACAAACAGGAGGGGTTGTGCCCCCCATTTTGTATTTGGAATCATTTTGTAGTTGATTCCTTTCAAATCATGCATTTTCATTTTGTAGTTGTATATGTTGAGTTAGTTGAAGCATCCAACATAAAATCTCATTAGCATTTTGTCATCTAACAGAATACCATCTAACAAACTGCACGGGGTCAACACTTGATCCAACTAAATTCAATCATTGACAACTACAAAATGTTCTCCGAATTTATGTTGGTCGGAACTTTGGATGGCAAAGACCCAACTACAAAATGTCATTGGGAAAAATCATGTTAGAAATTCCGACGTTCAGCTATTTTTTTGACTTCAGATGCATTGGATTTTGTAGTACTGGTTTTGAATTATTTTCCGAGCCAGAAAGAGTTATGTTCTTCATTTTGTAGCTGCAAAAAAAGTACATGCACTTGCATTTTGTAGTTGTGCACCCTATGCATTCCGCTCTGTATCTACCAAAACCATCTGCACAACTCCTCCCCCCTTATCTGAACCCTGATTGAAATCATGTATAATATATGTGTATATACATTGTATATATATATAGGTGTGTGATTATATGTATTATATATGGTATATGCCCAAGAACTCTGCCAGCAGAGACCTACAATAGGTACAACTTGGATGAGATGTGATTCCATTGACACTGAACCATGGCCAACTTCCTCAAGGCTTGCATGAAGCTTGGCTACTGGCAAGAAGCCGTCAAGGCTGCTGAGACTGCCGCCCAACTTTGTCCTGAAGATCACAAGGCACAAAACAAGACCCTTGAAGATGGTTGACGACGGCCGCATGTTGCTGTAATGTGTTGTATATATTTGTGTAATTGGTATGGCATGTATGGCTTAAGTCGATCCAAACAGATGTACCAGCCTGAGGCTTGGTTCCGCCTGGCATGTGCCTTGGAGGGTCTGGGAAGATTGGACGAGGCGCAATGTTTTAGTTGCCTAGAAAGTAAGGCGAAAACTGATGTAAGTGACTGTTCTATGATTTTAAATGTGTTTGTCAGATGTTCCTTGTTATTCTTCAATGTATTCAGACTTCACTACTAACTCCCAGATGTCACTCATAGGATCGCAGTCAATTGTTCGAGTTTGCAGGCCGAAGAGTGCCTCCACAAGATAGATGAGTGCTCTGTTGGACGACCCGACAGAACACGAATAGCCAAGGACACACAGGCAGCGACGACTATCATTTTCAATAGTTCCTTCTAGTTGATTAATTTTGATTATAATTATAGTATGTTATAGTTGATTTTGCTCTATATATAACTACAAACTTTAAATTGCCGCACTGCTACTTGGTTCAGACTGAAGAGCATGAGAACAGCAATGGCCAGGCCAAGCGTGAGAAGCTGCAAGCACTCCGGGATCGGGTAAGAGGCTTAGAGAAGACCATCATTCCTTTGGAAACCTTCCCGCAGTGCTTGGTACCTGACCACCGCATGACCACTGCCTGACCAAAGGAGCAAGCGTCACTGAAGAAGACTGTGGAGAAGGCACTTGCCAGGCGAGCTTGGGAGACTCCATTTTCTGGCAGGTTCTTAGCATTGGTCAAGCTATTGGAGTACTCATGGACCCGTAAGATCTATCAAAATCATTCAAAACTGACTGTGTTTACTCTTGAACCATCCATTTTGTGGGGTTGGTAAGTTCGATCCATACCTACTGTACTTCTTTTCACAAAGCACAACCACCTCACATTGCATCCTGTGTTCAGGAACGTGTTCAGTGAGGAGCGCGAGGCAAGATATCAGTTTGATCCTGTTTGCATCCATTCGTCTCCGCATGAGAAGATGCTCCTATGGCCAGAGTGCACTGGCTTTATTGATAGAGAAATGTGATGAATTTCAATCATTCAAAGAAAACTTCCATGACGGATGCAGGACCATCAAATTCATCCGGCGTTGCATCTTAGCTGCACTGAGTGCATATCTTGTGTCCGGTGAATCCCGAGCCCTAAGGGCCAAGAACACCTCAACGAGGGAACCATTGGAGGAGTGGTTCAGATCAATGCGCAGCAGCCATGGAGGAATGGTTTGGGGAAGGTGTTGCCCTTTATCCCAGCCTTCGCAACTCTTCGCAGGACTCCACTCAAAACTCCGTTCAAAAGCATCTGACAAGAGAAGGTGCCAAGGAGCGCCCAGCCGCGTGATGAGTGGCATGATAGTCTCGAAACGACATTCCAATGGAGCTTGATGTTGCGGAGGACTTGCTCCTGGAGCTACGAGATGCATACAGAGATACGACTTTTCAAATGCAGGAGCAAACGCATTTGCTGTGTCGGAAGCCAACAAAAATGTACCGAAGTTTGTGCTGCACATAGCACTACTTTATACCACTTATTGATCGTTTTCCGCTGTCTTTCACAAGTTCTGCATGTACCCGACCTTCATTGAGATTTGATCCTTGGCATTCCTTGGCCCTTGTGAAATCGACCAGATCTTCAAGCTTGCACGAGATGTACATGGTCAGAAGGCCCCTCCTTTGAAGCTGTCGCATCGCTTGCCGACAAGTCATGACAAGTCTCTATATATATATGCATAGATGTTGCTTGACAAGACACTTGGAAACAGCAAGTTTGGGAAGGATTTCCAGAGATGCCAAAGTTTCATAGCGTTTCAGGATATTAATGAAAATATATCGTATTTTTATGTATTTTTGGTAGCACTGCTGGTTGATAGAACAATAACTGGTTCAATAACTAGTCAACCAAGATATGATATTCCATAATATTCCATGATATTCCCATATTCCATGATATTCCCATGTCTTGTTGTTCTCATTTCCATGATATTTTCCCATGTCATCTTCCCATGATATTCCCATGTCATCGACTCAAAGAAGTCCGACGGGCAGGACCTGTTTCTGGCAAACCTGTCCAAGCTCGTGCCTTGGCAGCCGGATGGCAGGACTTCATCTCAGATGTTAGTTTATGATAATGTTCATCTATTAGTTTAGTAATTACTGTTATTAATGAGACACATAGTAGAATGGACTTACCAATAGAAGGGATTAATGATGACAATAGTTTATGATGATGCTATTACTATTTGATCTATTTAGTTATTAAATAATGATGTTCTATTATAGTAAAGATCTCAGAACATCTTAGTATATGACTTTAATGTACTTCACTAATTAATGTTCTTAATATATTCTGAATATGTTTTTAGAGGTGTGAAAGTTGTTTCTCAACCGTTACTTCTTGCAGCAATAAAATGATAGACCATGTGTTTCAGAATTGAAGGGAAGAAGACTTCCCCTATAGTCAACCCATTTCCTGAGTCCAGCCATCAGATGCAACCAGCAAGAATACAGATAAATTGTACTGGTAGGTTGTTCTACGCCTTTAAAGGTTGGAAATGGTATGAACCGGTTTGCGATTACTACTTAGAAACACGTGCAATTGCTTTGGCAAAATGCAACTGTGGATGTTGCGAATGAAGACCTGAACAACGAGGCACTCCCTTTGCAGAAGCCCATACTTGAACAGTCTGAATCTGAGTTTTGTTCCTTGTGGGGCCCTTGTAATGCACTTGCGACGACTTTGTGCACAGGTTTGGTTTCGAGCCAAGCGAGAAGGGTGTAAAGGAGATGAAACAAGCACTGCAGGCCGGAAATTTGTCAAGAAAGGATTTCACGTGCACTCTGCGGCTCGAAACTCCGGTTCCCAGGTACCAAAGAAGAGAATACGTGCTTCCGGTTTGAATCATTGTGAAATATCACATCACAGTTTCGAATTTGTGGCTCAGCCCATTCCCAGTCACCATTGACGTTGTGACCACCATGATTGCCTTGGCTGATAGGAACACCTCCATGCTGCGACCATCGACGAGGACATTCGCAGGGCTGCAGACGAGACCACCATGGCCTTTTATGGAGCTTCTCGGCTGCAGTCCACAGCACGGCAGCACGGACTGTCATTAGGGATAAATATTGGCAGGTCATGTACGACAAGCTCACGCGGGATGATGCTGTTGATTCACCTCCGAGTTTGGAGGCGTGCATTCTTGAAGTACATAGTCAAGTAGTACAATCAGTGGTTTATGTGTTTTTGACAACTGTCTCCAATAAACAGTTATCAGATGTTACCAGTAGGCCAGTAGTAGGTATCATTATTCATCATTATTCCATATTAAGATATTAAGATATACTGTATGAAGTACGCAGTTGGATGTGCAAGCTGATGATCCGGAGGTTAGACTTGGGCGCGATCCTCGAGAGCAAAGTGAGTGAAAAAAAAGGCTGCCAGGGAAGAGGAGACGAGTACAGTAGCCGATAGCTGATAGCAAGTGTGGATGACTCTAAAAGCTATCACAAGTCCGGAGAGGTTATCTTAGAACACGGACCAGGTGAATGTTTGAAGGATAGGCTTTATACATTCTTTATACATTCTTTATACATTCTTTATACATTCTTTATACAGTATTTATACATTCTTTATACATTATTTATACAATATTTATACATTCTTTATACATTCTTTATACATTCTTTATACATTATTTATACATTATTTATACATTCTTTATACCTTCTTTATACATTCTTTATATAATACATTATTTATACATTCTTTATACATTCTTTATACATTATTTATACATTATTTATACATTCTTTATACATTATTTATACATTCTTTATACCTTCTTTATACATTCTTTATACATTCTTTATACATTCTTTATACATTATTTATACATTCTTTATACATTATTTATACATTATTTATACATTATTTATACATGCTTTATACATTCTTTATACCTTCTTTATACATTCTTTATACATTCTTTATACATTCTTTATACATTCTTTATACATTATTTATACATTATTTATACATTCTTTATATATTCTTTATACATTCTTTATACATTATTTATACATTCTTTATACATTATTTATACATTCTTTATACATTATTTATACATTCTTTATACATTATTTATACATTATTTATACATTCTTTATATATTCTTTATACATTCTTTATACATTATTTATACATTATTTATACATTCTTTATACCTTCTTTATACATTCTTTATACCTTCTTTATACATTCTTTATACATTCTTTATACATTCTTTATACATTCTTTATACATTATTTATACATTCTTTATACATTATTTATACATTATTTATACATTATTTATACATGCTTTATACATTCTTTATACATTCTTTATATATTCTTTATACATTCTTTATACATTCTTTATACAATATTTATACATTCGTTATACATTCTTTATACATTCTTTATACATTATTTATACATTTCTTTATACATTATTTATACAATATTTATACATTCTTTATACATTCTTTATACATTCTTTATACATTATTTATACATTCTTTATACATTCTTTATACATTCTTTATACATTCTTTATACCCTTTTACTTCATTATACTCGTACCTCCCTTCTCAGGGCATTGAGATTGTTCTCGGCCTGGCCAGGTTGACTGCTGAAACAGCGCGGCCCGTCCTGAGTCGGGCGGCCATCGACTTCCCGTTGAAAACAACAAGTGACGTCAAAGATCAAAGTGGGAGCGGAAGAATTTGTGCCTGTTACATACTTCTGAAAAGAAGCCGGAAAACGGAGCCTCTTTCTTGGAAGATAGATTTATCCTTCTGCTGTATCCTCTTCTCCTTGCATGCGGTTCCTTTTTCCTTTCCACCCGCATCACTAATTTATTCTTGCTTCAAAGTGTGTTTCCGTTTCTTTTTCTTTCGCCGTTTTTATGAATTGCCAAAACAAGATCAAAGACGAAATCAAAATTTACGAAAATAAACTACCAGACCCCGACTTCCTCCCTGCTTTTCCTCATTCTTTCCTTTTCTTTTTTTCTTCCTCTTTTCTTGCTTTTCCTTGTCCCCTTTCCTCTCTTCCCTTTCCTTTGTTCCATTTCCTTTTTCCCCTTCCCTCTCTTCCTTTCCTCCGTCGTTTCTCTTGCTTTCCTTCTCCTTTGTTCATTTCCTCTTCCTTTCTTTTTTTTCCTTTCTTCCCTTTCCTTTCCTCATTCCTTTTTCTTATTTTACCTTTTCCCCTTTTCCCTTTCTTTTTATGTTCCTTTCCTCTTCCTTCCCTTTTTCTGTTCCTTTCCTCCTACAAAATTACGAAATAAAAAATGGTAGGAAATGGTAGGAATAAAGTACATGCATGGAATATGTATTGAAAATATACAATGTAATACGAATTATTTTATTTTGGTATTTATAATTATTGTATTTTGTAATTTGAAAAATATTATATTATAAGTATAAATAATTAAATATATTTAAATTTTACAATTCTGGGTTATTTTAAATGTATTAAAGGAAATTGGGAAATAATCTTCCGAATTACGGGTAAAATATAGTGTAATAACTAGATTATATAATAATAAATTACATAACAATATATTATATTATATTACAATATATTAGATTATAATATTTTATAATTTGGAATACGAATTACATTATAAATATAGGGTATTATAAAACACATTATAATGGTTATATAAATATTGCATGGAATTTGTATATTGGGGTGGTTGCGGGTGGTGATGAAGGGTGTTTATTATATGCGGTGGTTGCGGTTTGGATTGTTTAAATGAGGAGTTGATTTGATATTGTGGTTTGTAGTCTAGGGATATGAGTCGTATGGTAATGGTTACTATATATGGATATTGTGGGCGATGAAGGGTATTTCCTGTATACGTAGTTGTGATTTGGATCTTTTTAACGAGGAGTCGGCTTTGGATTGTATTTTGTAATGCGGGGATGCGAATCGTGTGGTAATGATTTTATGGATATATATATATATATTATTTTGAAAAAAAAATATATATTAAAATAGTTATATATATTATATGAAATTTATATATTGGGGAGGACATCGGAGGATAAAATTATATTTTTTTAATTCTTTTTGAAAATTTTAGTGCAAAAAGATAGGGTATATTTTTATTTTGATTGGAATTTTAATTATAAAATTAGTGTTTGTAAAATATATTTTAAAGGATTTTTATGGTTCTTTTAAAATTATATATTTTTGTATTTTGGAGTAATAATATGGGTTGGGTTATAATAATTAAATATGTGGGATAATAGTCGATCTAAAATAAATATCTGAATTTATTTAGATTTGGTTTAAAAATAATTTATAATGAATTTATAGGGTTCCATGGTTAATAGTTACTAATATTTCCCAGAATAATTTTTAATTTAAATAGTAGTGAATTATTATAATTTATATAAAAAATATTTTCGTAATATTTAAATAATATTATTATTGAATTTATATTATTATATTTATAATTGAGAAAAATATATATATATACCACATATAAAGGCAGCATTAAATAACCCATTCGATTAATATTCCTAATTTATCATTGTATTTTTCATTGCAAAATTAATTAATATCGTATAAACATACCCTTTAATTATATTGGCCGGTACATATACAAAGGCCAAAGAGGTCCACTACAAAATTAAAATATTCCAAGGCTATAAAATCGATTTTAAAAAATCTTTATCCTTCCCCTATGATAACCACCTATTATTATCGATTATTTCAAGACCACCCACGACCAGATTTTCTGATACCCGTATTTGGTATTTATATAATTTTTTATTTTTAAAAAATATTTTTTTTAATATTATTATCCATATTAAAATTATATTTTTTTGAATTATTACCGTTTGTTATTATTTACGGATATACGTCCATGTTTATGTAACTAGATTTGGAAATGTGGGGAATAGTTTCCCGGATTTCGCTTATATATTAATATACTATATTTGGGATATATTATATAATATCAAAAATATATACCCTCTAAAATACCCTAATTAATATAAAATTTACCTAAAAAATTAAATATATATACCATCTCACAAGATCTCTTCTCACATAAAAAGAGCTTAAATGTTGTAGCCTATTATTAAAACATACTAAATTTATAATAATTTTTATATTATAATAAGAATAAATATAAAGTACAAATACTAAAAAAATAAGGTATTTAAATTCGATCAATAAAATTTATTTAAAAATTATTATAAATATCTAATTTATTAATTTTAAAAAATATTTTTTTTATATTCCTATTTTTTTTAAATAATTTTTTCCCAGGTTCCCCTAATTAAGCCGTCCAAGTCAAAATTTTGCGAGGAAAGTAAATCCAATTTGAGAAGGGGTGATACGAAAGGTAATTGTGTCACAGGGGACGCGGGGATCACTCAGTGCAAAAGCCGACATGCGATTGGGCCCTTTTCTACCGACACCATTAGGCTTGTTAATATGGACGTCATGCGCTAGCAAGTCACCGCTTTGACAGAACGAAGGGAAAATTTCTGTCCAATCGAAGCATGGAAAAGCGCCGCCGTTCCTTTGCTTCACCCGTTTGCTTGCAAAAGTTAAAGTGACGTGGCAAATGGATGTCGAAAAATCCGAATCGCAAGTCGAATGATGATGATGATGATGATGATGATGATGATGATGAGATATTGCGAAGGGGCTGCTGCGTGAAGAGACGCACAAGGCATGTGACGAGAGGGGGGCATGGAATTGGACATTCAGAGCAGGGCGGAGATATCTGGATCCGAAAAGAGAGCACCCCACGATGTCCATGGTTGCTCATCACTTAGTCCATTTAAATAGCCATTTGGAGGTATACATTGTCAGACACACGCATCGTGTGGGGGAAAAAAAACACGATCAGTGTTAGCACAAACTCCAATGTCTCTTTTTGCGGTACCTATGGATGCTCGAACCTGTCACTTTCATCGCACCGTTGGGTACTTGGAAAATGGATGTCGAAAAATCCGAATTTCAAGTCGAATGATGATGGTGATGAGGAGGATGATGCTGATGATGATGATGATGTTGATGATGATGATGGTGATGATGACGAGACACTGCGAAGGGGCTGCTGCGTGAAGAGACTCACCAGGCATATGGCGAGAGTTTCCTTCGAGGGGGGGGAGAGGGGGGGGAGGGGGGGGGGCCCTTTCTATTGGTCGTTCAGGGATAAGGGGTCCAGCCCGCCCCTTTGCTTCGCAAAGTAAAACTCAAGGTAGCCCGCTAGGAGGCTACCTTTCGTGATATGATCTATACTTAGTTTAGACTAAGAACAACTGGTCTCAAACCAGTCCACCAAGGATCATTCCACAAACTTCCAGCGGACATAACAACAAAAGGCAAAATATACCAAAATTTTCCAAGAGTTTTTATATTTTCCTAGATGGGATTCCTATGTCAAGATAGGCCACAAAAAGACCCTTTAGAACAGACGTCATGCCCAAGGAGCGCTAGGAAAAGAAACGACTTCGGCAGCAACACTGGGCAGATACAAAAGGCACTCCAATTTTTGATTACCATCTTTTGGTGGTTTTTGAAGCCATTGGGTCTGTGACTAAGTTTTGTATATCTTATTTAGTTTAATTTTTATAAGGAATAATTTTGAATCTGGCCAGGCTTTCTGTAGTACTGGGGGGTTGTACCCAGCCAGAAGGCACCTACATCAAGAGGAGATAACCCCTCCCCCAAATTTCAACGAGAATTGTTTATCCATACAAGCGGTGGAAGGTGTGATGAAGGGTACCTCCTGTGCGCGGCGGTTCCGGTTTGGATCGTTTTAACGCGTAACCGGCTCTCACTTGGTGCCCTGCAACGCGGGGATGCGAATTTTATTGCAATAATTCTATGGATGTATAACGGTGCTGTAAAATGCATTGCGTTGGCTACATGAGCGTTACATGGAATTTGTGTATTGGGGAGGAAGCCGGAGCACGGAACCGTGTCTTTTCCGTGTGAAGTGGCTCCTCCTATGTGTGGCGGTTGCGGTTTGGATTGCTTCAACACGTAATCAGCTTTTCCATTGTGTTTTTCAGCGCGGGGATATGAATCGTTTATTATGTGGTGCTGCAAAAACACATTGAAATGATTACGTAAATATTTTTTATGGAATTTGTATTGGGGAGGAAGCCGGAGCACGAAACCGTATTTTTTCCGTTTAAAGTGGCTGCAGGCGGCGATGAAGGGCAGCGAATGCGGTCGCTTTGACGTGCGATTGGTTCCTCCGCTGTATTTTGCATTCAGGGAATGGCAAAATGATGCAAGTCGCATAGTAATGGCTGCATAATGGTGTACATAGTGCTGCAAAACGCAATGCAATGGCTGCATAAAGGTTTCTCGCTGCTGCGGCTGTGTGCGTAATATTATTGTATTTTGCAGCTGCTTACTTATTTCTCAACAGATTTTTCAATTTTGGCGCTGATGATTTTCCTTTTAAAATTCCTTTTGAGCGCCGGGCTCCGGTTTTGGAGCTGCAGTTCCTGTTGCCATTGTATGCAAGAAAGCCACAAAGCCGCTCCCCAAAGTTGCGCTCTAAAGCTACTCCCCAAAGCTGCTCCCCATTCAAAACTGCAGTTCGAAGCTGCCGTGCAAAATTGCTCCTGCCCCCGAAGCTGCTCCCCAAACCTGCTCCACAAAGCTGTTCCCCAAAGCCGCTCCCCAAAGTTGTTATCAAAAGCTGCTCCGAACAGCTGCTCCCCCAAGCTGCTACAGCTGCCTCCGAAAATTGTTTCCGAAAGCTGCTTCCCAAAGTTGCTTCCTAAAGCTACTCAACAAAGCTGCCGTTCTTCAAAGCAACTGTTCATCAATGCTCCTGCAAAGCCGCAAAGTTGCTCCCCGCAGTTGCTCCCCAAAGCTGCTCTCCAAAGCTGCTACCACAAGCCGCGTCCGAAAGAAGCTCCCCAAAACAGCGCGAACAGGCTAAGGAAGCAAGCGCCGTGCAGCAAGCGGGCAGTCTCGCAGAGGTGTGTGTTAGAAAGAGCACAGAGACAATAGCGCAGAAGTTAGGCAAGCAAGGGCAATAGCTCGTAGGGGGTCGGGACGGGCCTAGGGGGAATCGAGCCCCCGACCTACACTGACTGGGGAGAAGAGAAAATTTCCGGAAAAAAAAACGATCACTTTTTTTGAGAGACGCGAAAGAATTTCCCAAAAAAGTAGTGAATTTTCGACCTCCGCGCAGGGGGCTCAGGAAGTACAGACTAAGTTTGTATTCGCACAGACTTAAGAAGGTTTTCGTGAGAGTCCCAAAATTATGGCAGATTTTTTGGAAATTTTGGCTCGGGAAACTGCGCGCGCGCGCCCTCTGTGTACAGCCAGATCGTAGTAATAGTAATAATATAATATGCAAACTGACCGAAAATTCAAAGTGGGTGGAGGTAGGCCTGCAAACCCCCCCAAAAAAAAAAGTACAAATTGTTTTAAAAAAAACCAGCCATTGTCACAACACCTTCAAATCAACTCAGTAGAACCAAGTTCAATCTATTGAGCCTATTGTATCCTAATCCCAAATCACTGAACAATAATGTAGACAGTCTGCAGCTTTGAAACTGCAGCCTCAGTGAAGGCTTATTTATATATTTGACTGGGCATGGCATTGGCTCAGGATATCTCATGATGTCAAAAACAACAAATTTGGAGTCACGTTGGCTTCGTGAGTCCAGATGATCACACCACACAATTTCCGTGCAAAAGAAAAAGGTTGAAAGCCCTGGGCCCTGGGCCGCGAGATGCCCCTCCACATACGGACAAAAAGCGCCCCATTGCCTGAAAAGAAAGTATACAGGATTGCTGGATGATTTCTTAGATGCTTCTGACCCTTTTTGTGTTTGTCCTGGTGGGCCCCATTGACTCTCACCAAAACATCCGCCATACTTGCTGTTTGTCGGAGGCCAATTGTCACCAATAATGCATTCCTTTTAGCTGAAACCACAGCGCGACTGGTTAAACAGGGCTTTGTCGTCACGAAACTGATTTTGAACCATTAGGCAAAAACATTTTTTCAAGGGGCCTTTGGACCTCCATGACGCGAAGTTTCAAAAAGGTTCTGTGTGGACATGGCTGTCAGAAAACATCAGAAAAAATTGGTTCACAAAATTCTGCCCCTGGATCCCCCAAAACTGGATTGATGCTTTCCATGTTGACTACATCTGACTTTTTGTGCTCCTAGAGGTGTGCACGTTCTTGAACCCTTCCAGCGCCAATGATCAAACGATCAAGTGCAAACAAAGGGGGTCCACGCCAAAGAAAAGTCGCCTCCGAACCCCCTTTGATTAAAAGGTCGAGGACTCCCAGGGCAGATAGATAGTCAGATAGGTAAACAGACAGATTGATTGACAGATGGATGGATGACAAATAAATATAGACAGGTAGACAGATAGATAGACAGATGGTCACATAGACAGATAAACAGACAGATAGATGGATGGCAAATAGATACACAGATAGATAGACATACAGATAGACAGATAGATAGACAGACAGACAGACAGATAGACAGATAGATACACAGATACATAGACAGACAGATAGATAGACAGACAGACAGACAGATAGATAGATAGACAGAAAGACAGATCGATAGATAGACATATAGATACACAGATAGATAATTAGACAGCTTGATAAAAAGACAGATAGATAGACAAACACACAGATTGATTGATGGATGGATGGATGGATGGATGGATTGATTTATTGATTGGTTGATTGATTGATTGGCTGATTCATTGATTGAGTGATTGATTGATTGCTTGATTGACTGATTGATTGATTGACTGGTTGACAGAAAGCTAGATAGATAGATAGATAGATACATAGAAAGACAGCTCGATAGAAAGACAGATGATAGACTAGATAGGTAGATAGATAAATAGATAGATAGATAAATAGATAGATAGATAGAAAGATAGAAAGATAGAAAGACAGAAGAATAGACAGATAGATAGATAGATAGATTAGATAGAATAGAATAGAATAGAATAGAACAGAATAGAATAGAATAGAATAGAATTAGAATTAGAATTAGAATTGGAATGGGAATGGGAATTGGAATTGGAATTAGAATTAGAATTAGAATTAGAATTAGAATAGAATTAGAATAGAATTAGAATAGAATAGAATAGAATTAGAATAGAATAGCATAGAATAGGATTAGATTAGAACAGAATAGAACAGAATAGAATGGAATGGAATGGAATGGAATGATAGATAGATAGATAGATAGACAGACAGACAGATAGACAGATAGACAGATAGACAGATAGACAGATAGACAGACAGACAGACAGATAGACAGATAGATAGATAGATAGATACTAGTAGGTAGGTAGATAGATAGAGAGATAGAGAGATAGATAATTAGATAGACAGATAGACAGATAGACAGATAGACAGATAGACAGCCTGACACTCCAACCACCTTTCGATCCATCAGTGAGTTCCATCCATGATTCACAACAACCAGCCTCTCCTGTAGGTGTCCTATTTTTGAAACTTCCGCCACCGCCTTGTGCGGTACTTACTGGTATAGAAAAATATGCTTGGAACGCAGGTGGATTCCGAATTTTTTTTGCCGGATTTTACATCGAGGATAATATTTCAAAACATTTTATAAAAGTATAAAAGTCGGGGTTTTATATTTGTAAGATATCTTGATTTTTTGCCGACATATTCATATGATGGTTCATAATATCAAAATATTTGTATTTCTTCGGATTTGGATATAATCGCAAGGATTATGATTTAACAGTCATCGCAATCATAATTCCTTGCGAGGACCTGTAGATCACTATGCATCTAAGCCCCAAGCAAGAAAACATAGATCAAATATCAGAGCTCTTGACGATAAATACTTCTTGGCTGGCCAGCTTTTCATTGTAATAGCTGCGGCTACTTTTTCCTTTCAAAAGGCAGTGGTAACTGAGAAGTCCTTGTCATCTCCAGTGTACCTCTTTTTGAATTCGATCTGCTTTGCAAGGCAGCGTTCCTGCAAACGCAATGCTCCAGCATCATCCAAGGGTGGTAGTGTGAATTCGCCAGGATCTTTCGCCCCAAGGGTGCGCAAAAAGAAATAGGTTTGTGCGTACTGAACTGCCTTGACTGACATATCATATGACACGCACTTGAGAAATATTCGTTCAAATGTGTTAATTTCGTTCAGACTGTACAGGTTGAACTTCTCAGCAAACTCAACATTTTCGTATGACTCATCGTACCATACCTTCGATGCGAGCATCATTGCGGTAATTGTTAGACGCTGCCAATTGTCCGGTGTAAAGGAAACACCACTCATTCCGCAAAAGCGTTCCAAATACACAAGTGTGACAACACTCACCTCTGCATCCACTTCAAGGCAGCGAATGACAAGCTCCAAGAAGTCATAAATGTCCCACTTGTTGGGGATGCGCCTGATGGCGATAGCATTGAACGGATGGGAAGGCAAACGAGGTTTGCTTGACGAATCGGCTGTCACTCTTTGCTTTGAGGAGCACAGGGATAGACTTGGTGACAAAGCATCCAGTTCGCTCTCCATGCTTTCAAAACCGGGCCATCCTCTTTCCAGGATCTGCTTGCAAGCCGGCTCCAGAAAAATGGAGCACGCTGCAAGACATTCCACGGAAGCAGCATGTGGCCGTGGCTTTCCAACTGACAAAATGATTTTGTTGTGCAAGGCTGTTGCGAGGCATCTGATCAAGTTGTCCACCTCCAGATTGGAAGGGATCTCCATGGATTTTGCCAACTTTGACCGGGCACTTTGGCCCGGAGTGCTGAGAGCAAATGACCGGATGGATGGCGGGCAGTAGCCACTGGGAGCATGACTAAATACTTCTTGGGAGCTTGAAAATGGGCTGTCCAGTAAAGAATCTGAATTACAGCGAATTCGATTTCCAGCTTGTCCCCTCGGCCCATCTTGAAAGGATCCCTCTCTGGAAAGGTGGGGGGCACTTTGCCAGTCTTCGCTATCCACACTGCAGCGACCTGTGCCGTTCCGAAAGGAATCAAAGAGCTGAGAAACCCGCTCAGGGCCCCCTGCCTCAGCCATTGCGTGCAGTTGGCTGGCGAGAAACTGCACCTGCTCTGTCTGGGTCCGAACCAAATCCTCCAAGTCCATAACTCGGTCGCGCTCTTTTTGCAGTTGCGCAGCCTGTTTATGAACAAGTTCTAGCAAACGACGGTTTTCTTCTTGGCAACGCTTGCTTTCATTTTCTGCCTCGGCCTTCTCTCTACAAAGTTCCTCCCTTTGTGAGTTTAGTCTCTGCAACGCAGCATCGTCTTCGAGCATCTGAGCTGCATCTCGTCTGTCTGCGCCTACAGCATGCCTCAAGCATTCTACTGCCCGAAGCAGCCGAAGCTTATGACCAGGATAGATCCTGAGCTGTTCCAAGAAGTCGAGAGCCTCTGTCTCAGAAAGCTTACTGATGGCATCTAGCTCACTTAAGCCAGCTGCAGCAAAAGCACGGGCATACTGATTCAGTCCATACACCTTCAAATAAGCAAAGACAGGAGTTTTGGTAACTTCAACACTCCCTTGCCGTGAAGTAGGCGCTCGGCCTGCACTGGGCCCACTGGAAGCGGCTCTCACCGGCTTTGTACTTACAGCACCCGCTGCTCCTAAGGGTCCACGGGGCACCGGGCGACGAGCCAAGCAATGCTGCGCGTCCCGGGCATTGCTGACGTTGTAAACGTGGTCCGGCGATGGTCCCGCCCGGCTCTCCCGAGTCTCCGTGGACGTCTCCACACGGGACGGTGGGCGGGGCACTGCTGGAGTCTTTCGGGGCACACTGCCACTCCGCCCGCTGCCGTTTCTCTGGGGCCTTCCATTGGAAACCCGGCCATCTCGCATCTTTCAGGCTTCGACACCTAATCTTTCATGCCGAAGACACCAGCCATCTCTCACCCCAGCTGAAGCCTCTACCTTTACACACTTTACACTGACTAAACACTCTGGTGGTTCGAGCCATGACAGTAGCACAAGAAAATAAACATGCGTTACCGTATGGCCCTCAAGTTTTGAGCGGCAGCCTGCCAGCACATGTGATGCAATTACTGTGGCAAATCTTTGACAAGTTCCTTTGATCACTGAAGAACATGGCAAATTAGCTCATGCCCGAAGGATCAGCAAAGCTAAAGATTTGGTACCGTTTAGGCCGTTCAGCAACTCGTTTTAAAACTTCAGACAAGGAACTGAAAAGTTGTTTTACAGCGGAATCCACGGCGTCACTGCAAGCTTTGGCTTCGAGACACTAGGGCAGCTATTGAATCTCCACCTGCCCTAGACTCTAGGCCACAATCAGCCAAGTTCAATCGTTGCAAATTCATCTTTGGCAACTGAGAAGTGAAACCTTGCAACCCAAGTGGGCCTATCTCCGTGTTTCCACTCATGTCCAGCGAGGTAAGGTGAGGACTCCTGAGCAACGCCAGGTTCAAACGCACATTGGCAGAAATCCCGCAGCTGCCAAAGCTCAGGGAGGAAATCTGTGTGTTGCAAAGGACATGCTCCAAAATTGGAGCGACATGAGGGCCCAGGCCAGGGTTGCTGGAAACAGCCAGCGCGTCTAGCTCCGGAAGATGCTGGAGCATTGCAAGGACTGCAACCTTGCCCTCCTCACCAGAAAGGGAGCAACAACTCAAATCAATTTCGACCAGTGAATGTCCACGTGCTTCTTCTCTGAGTCTGTTGGCAAAAGCTTGCACGCCAGCCTGGGTTCAACCCATCCCAATTGCACCCCAAAAAACAAAAATGGAATCGAATTAATGAGAATCATCATCCCAGGCGGGATGAAAATAATTGTACGTGTAAACAAATATCTTGAAAAATGCAAATGCAGGTCAGCAGCGTTTTCGAGCCGATAGTTCCTGGCCAAAGACAAACCGCGAAGTCCCGGTAAGGCCTGGAGCAGTTCCGCCAGCATGCTCCCTGCATCAGCATGAAGACCACACTCACTTAGATCTATTGATTTCAGAGACGTCAATTGAATCCTGGGGATCGTCAGCTGGGACCCATCCGGTCTTTCTCGACCAATCCCACTCTCCGACCGCAAGCTTTCGATCAAAACCTGTCCAACACCAAGAGTCCATGCAACACCTAGGCGAGAAGCATTGAAGCTCAGATGCTCGATACTTGACATTGCATCCAGGACCTTGACAAGAACAATTCCTCCCTCTATGCCACCCAAATTTCCTGGAAGGCTATGAAAACTGTGGTTGAGGCTGTTGAGGTTGAATGAGCGAAGCTTCTGTAGCTGTTGCAAGCTCAGTCCAGTCAAACGCTTGAAGTCTGTCGCGACCAAAGGATGATCAAGCACAAGCTGAGAGATGTCTAGCAGCTCAATCTGATCATGAACTTCGCCAGGTGTTCGGATAAGTTCCATGCGAGACAAAATCTCATTGAATTGTGGTGGTCCGTCAAAAGTGTGGCCCTCACTCTCCACAAGCTTTAAGCCAGGGCACTTTTCAAGGAGAAGTCTGAAAAAATCGGCCTCCTGCAGGCCAAGTTTGCACGGCAAGCCAATGTTGCAAGCATCCAATCTCGAGATGCAGGTGGTATCAGGCATCGTTTTCACCAGAGCTTGAAGGCCTGCTGGCAGCAACAGGTTGTTGGAGATGTTCAAACTCGTCAGGAAGGGGATTTGGTGGAGCAAAATTCCAGCCGAGTCTCCCCCCTCCTCTCCTTCCAGGCCGGTATCTTCCAGCGTCATTCCGGTCAGCTTTAGTGGACGCCTCAATGCGGACAAAGCACTGGACAGTGCCAGCATTCCAGTAGATCCCAAATTGTTGTTGCTGTGTACATCCAGGCGCTGCAAATTCGGAGTCTTGTAGAGCAAACACGCCAGCTGTTGGCCTCCCAAAAACCCTTCCAAGCTGCAATCGGCCAAAGTGACATGAACCAAGGAGTAACAACTATGGATCTCAGCCGCTAAGGCCTTCAGGTCAATACCAGTGTCACCAAGAGACACAGCTCCAAAACCGTTGTTTCCACTCAGGTCCAGAAACTCGAGACCAGGAGAGGCTTTCATTAGCTTTGCCACAGCTCGACCCCCTGCCTTTCCACACAGCCCACTTCTCAATAAAGATACTCTTTGAAGGGGTCCTGGCAGACCTTCAACTAGAGCTTCAAGCCCGGTATCCCCCAGGTTGTTGTCACTGACATCGAGGTTGAGGCAAGGCTGGGACAAGACAAGCTGTAGCTCACTACCATCGGACACTCCGGTCTCACTCAAACAAGTGCCTCCTTCCAGCAAGGAGGTGCCAAGGAGCAAACGAGGGCATCCAGTTGAAATCACTCCACGTCGGTGCAGCGAGGATATGACATCATTGCAAGTTGCGGTCAGTGACACCTTGAGCTGGATCACAGAGCCGTCCATCCAAATCAATTTCAACTCCACTTTGTTGGCAGCCTGAGGCGGCGAATACTTAATGTGTGAAGGACCACTGGATTTAGAATTACCAAGTGCTGCCATAATGGAAAACTGCCACATACCAAGATATCTGATTGAACAAGAATGAGTTTGGAAGTCAGCTTCCAATTTGAAGCATAAAGATTCTGCAGTATGTGCAGTCAAGAAGCCGAGTCATGCTGCGGACTCAGCGCGGGACTTTCCAATTGGTCAAAGTCTGCCTCGTCGGGAGAACTGCGCCCCACTGGCAGCGTTGGGAAATCCTCCGTTCTTTCGGCGACATCGAGTCTTCTGTTGGAAGCTTCAAAGTCACGTTCAAGAGCAGCAAAACCCTTGTCGAGCAACGCAGAGCTCGATCTTCGTTCTGAAAAAGCTGGGGCACTAAAGGCCTGGATAGATCCGGTGGACCATGCACCTCCCATTGAAACTTTGGCCTTTCACAGCGCTAAGTTTTGACTAAGCTGGTCCAGAACAGGGCTGATTTAATGGTAGGATATGATAAGATGAAAGAATTTTGTGCACATGAATCAAAAAAAACAGCTGGGATTGGAGACTTCAGTGATTGAGTATCATCTCTGCATTTGTTTCGAACTCGGGCCGGCATGCTGACGGAAAACACTGCAATTGCTCGCTTTCAAGGATTGACGCCTGTCTGCTGTCTGTATCAATCGAGCCCATGTCATATGAAAATGGCACCAAAAGAAGTTCTGGATCTATTTTCGTCTGATGATGTCTTATGGTTTTCCGAGACTTTGGTGCCAAAGCCGTAAGCAGTTTGTTTTCATTCGAAGGCATTTATATATATATATGAAGCCTACAAGAATCGGAATTGCCCTCGGTCAACACGGCCGGGATGGAACCCTGTCTGAGAGAAACTGTTTGGGGAATGTTTTTGTCACTGTCAGAGACTGTACTGCATGATGATGATCATTATGATTACAGCAAAAAAATGTAGTATCTTGTCATTGTTTTTCCTCTTGTCGTTTCACATGCCGCAACTTCAGCTGGAATCTGATGCGCAATGCCTAATTTAGAACAAAATCAGGGGTGTTGTTACACTGTCCCGCATGCACGTACATGAATCCGGGAAAATTACCTTGTGGTGAAATCGTTGTCGCTCTACACAAAGAATCAACCACCTTGGTTTGCTGTGGCCGGTGAAGGCGCAAGCACTGCCTAAAAGCTTCCACATTTTCTTCCCAAGAGCCTTCCACTTTTTCTTCTTAAGAGCGAGGCAGTTTGCTACAATTCCAGATCCTGTCTGATGCGTCCGTGGTTTCCCGTCAGACCCAGCTTTTGACTCCAGACAATAAGCGTTTCTTTGCTGGCGTCCAGCTGTGCCAAGTGGGCGACTGAGGCTCTGGAAAGTTCATTGCATCTCAAAACCCCTCATGCACATAGCTTATGTACAGAATGGTAGGACTGGCATCACAGCCACAGTGGGAAACGCCGAGATCAAACAGAGCAAGGCTTCCAACCGGCATGGAAGGTTGGATGTGCGCGAGTCTCTGCATCCATCCAGAAACGTCTGTCGGCAATTGGCCAATGAGATCCGGGTAGAAAGTCAGTGGTTCCATTTCTTGAAGCGACAATGACCAATGGCACAGCGCTCACCAGTCCAACCTCAAATGATTCGATGGCCAGAGTTGTCAAGCTACGTTTATATGACCTATGCCCAAACTAGCCAACACGATGAAGGGTGCATAATGCGGGTTTTTTTCAGATTCCTGTTTGCCTTATATTTGCAATATTTAAAACGTGCCAAATTACCTAAGGTTTTCACCATGTTGAAATTTTGCGCAGTATTTGACACATTTGGCAGCTAGAGCAATCGATACCGCAAGGTATTTGGAGCACTTCGGGGCTAGAGGCTAGGGAACTAAAACTTTCCAAATTTCGTAAGGTTTCCACCATGTTCTTCTCACCTTGTGCAGTATTTGCAACATTTGGGAGCTAGAAAATTTCAGGTAGCATGGCATTTGCAGCACCTACGGTTGTTATTAATTTGTTGTTGGTTTGTTTCTGGTTTGTTGTTTATTTGTTGTTGGTTTGTGTCTGGTTTGTTGTTGGTTTGTTGTTGGTTTGTTGTTGATGTGTTGCTGATTTATTGTTGGTCTGTTGTTGACTTTTTGTTGATTTTTCCCCAACAGCATAAGCTAATGGGGTCTTCAGCCCAGAATACCTGCACTGGTGCACGCTGGTGCAGGCGCCGGGTCAAGTTCAACGAGGTTCTGGAGAAGGTTCCGAAGGTTCCGGAGAAGGTCTGGGAAGCTTTGGTGCAGGAGCCAGGTCAAGTTTTCCAGAGAAGGTTCCGGAGAAGGTCTGGGAGGCTTTGGTGCAGAGCCAGGTCAGGTTCAACAGGGTTCCGAAGAAGGTTCCGGAGAAGGTTCCTGGAAGCCTTGGTGACAAGCCCAAGTCAAGTTCAACAGGGTTCCGGAGAAAGTTCTGAAGGTTCCGGAGGGTCAGGTTCAACAGGGTTCCGGAGAAGGTTATGGAGAAAGTTGCAGAGAAGGTCTGGGAGGCTTCGGTGCAGAGCCGGGTCAGGTTCAACAGGGTTCCGGAAAAGGTTCCGAAGGTTCCGGAGCAGGTCTGGGAGGCTTTAGTGCGGAGCCAGGTCAAGTTCAACAGCGTTCCGGAGAAGGTTCCAGAGAAGGTTCTGGAGAAGGTTCCGGGAGGCTTTGGTGCAGAGCCAGGTCAGTTCAACAGGGTTCCGGAGAAGGTCTGGGAGGCTTTGGTGAAGAGCCAGGTCAGGTTCAGCAGGTTTTGCGGCCATTTAATTTAATTCACGGAAACCCGGCTGAGGTGTTTCCAGCGCTTGGCTTCGCAGCACGCTTCAGAAAGATTTGTAAAAATAAAACGTTGCGGCTGTTGGGGATACCACCAAAGTTTTTGTTGTTGTTTTATGTGTTGCTGATTTGTTGTTAGTTTGTTGTTGGTTCGTTGATGGTTTGTTGTTGGTGTGTTTGTTGATGTGTTGTTGATGTGTTGTTAATTTGTTGTTGTTCTTTTTGTTCTTGTAGTACTTTTGTTGTTATGTAGGGATTCTCGGGATTTATATATTTAGCAGGATTCTTAGGGCTGGTTTAGGGTTTATGAAGAGTTGGTTTAAAACCTATTTGCTGTTGCTTTATTGTCGGTTGGTTTTGACGTTCTTTAAGGGTTTGTTGGTGTGGGAAAACGGTTTTGTTTAGGGTTAGGTTGTTTCTGAGTTTAAGGTTTATTTATATAGGGCTGACTGGCTTATTCAAGGTTAGTTTAGGATCTATTTAGGGTTGGTTTAAAATCTATTTATGGCTGGCTTAAGGTCTAACTTAAGGTGGGCCAAGGTTAGAAAAACAAAAAGTCAAAGAATCAAAAAAACACAAAAGCAGAGAGACAAAAAAAAGGCAGAGAATCGAAAGTACCAAAGAACAAACAAGCAGAGAAGCAAACAAAACAAAGAATTACAAAAAAAAAGAAAAGAAGCAAAATAAGCCAAAAAACAGAAAAGCGGAAAAAAAAAACAAAAACAAAGAGGCAAACAAGCAGAGAAGCAAAAAAGCACAAATCACCCAACCACTTCAAAGGCTTCAGCTGAGGACTCTTCTATTCGGGAATCTCCTTTGACAGCGCTGCTAAAGAAGTGGCCAAGTTGTTAAGCAATTCTGGCTCATGAGTCCACTAGACAGCAGCAGCTGTAAAAATGCCTTGCTTCGGGCGAAACTCCAAAGGCTATGAGAGTTGACAAGTTTGGAAAGCAATCACACTGCCGGCTTATGTTGCATAGAAGGAACAAGCTGCTTGATGTGTATCGCCTGCCTGGGACATGCCAGCTCAATGAATGGTGACGTCTTAAGTTGTCACAGGTCTTGTTGACCCTTTCTACAATCTGAAAGTGTCTTCAACGATTGAGTCCCTAGCTGTTAGCGCAGCAGTTCCCTTTGCGACAGCTGCATCTGCACTTTCCGAACTGCAACCATCTATGTCAAGCGGCAACAGCAACCGGTGGGCGAGTCCGGGCTGTGCCAAAGTTGCCCAAAGAATCATGGGCAGCGCATGTTTTGTTCAAATTGTCCAACCGACACTGAAACAGCATTGATTTCGGGTGAGGAAAAAAATATGAGTAGATTCATGAAGCTGGTGATTCTCACACCGAAGCGCTACTTCCAACAACCTGATGATCTATATCCTTGTGGATTTCTGGTGGCAAGAGCTCATACCCCAAGCTGCCAGTTGAAGTGCTGCTCTGCAACCCTGGGCCAGAAAAGCTCTGCAAGTTCCAAGTGTACCAGAATCTGCCCGACCAAGATTGGTAGAGTTCAGCGCTTTGTGCAAAGCACTCGCAAGCACTCGCTATTTTTCCAACGACAGGGAGACAACAGAGGAACTCCCAAGCTTCGCCAACAGTTGCAAGCGTTGCTTGGGGCCACTGGCTTCAATCGCAGAACCCATGGAAGTGGCCCAAGCGCCACCACCATCCCACAGTTGAAGCAACACCAAACTCAGAGGCCAACTGGATGCCTGAGCGGCTGCAATGGCTGCCTCACTGCATGAAACCTCCGTGGCGATCTGCTGGAGGTGAAGTTGAACCATGAAAAACAGTGACCACTGCCATGCGCGGACATTCTGACAAGCAGTGATGGCAGCATTGAAACCAATGCTCCCGGGGCGGCCTTCACGCTGTCGCATACCATGAATGACTGACAGGGCACCCTGCCAATTGCAAGCCTTCTCACAAGAACTTGCCGCAGAATTGCAGCAAATGTCAGAAGTTCTGGCTTTGGAGCTGCGTGTCCGGGTCAGGAAGTGCAAAGAGTGCTGCCACCTGGCCACCTGTTCAAAGCTGCCCACAGCTGTTCCCCAACTCACTTCATCTGGAACCAGGGCACTCTCTGCGATGGTCTGAACCAACTTCAGAACAGTTGCCCATGCATTCCCCTCCCCACAGGCAGCTAGCGCTGCATTAGTCGGAACGCAGCCCAAGTGGTGGCAATCCCTATTGTGAATCCAAAGCAAAGACAGCGGCAAAGACCAACGCCTGGCCTTCAACACAGCATGTATGCTGGCAACCAAGGCCTTGCAATCGAAAGTATCATCTGCCTGAAGTCTGCTGATATGCTGTAAGGAAGAAGCCCATTGATTGCACATGCCGCATGCACCCACAATGGAATGGCCCAGGACTGCATTCATCCTCAATGATCCGCTTCTCACGACTTCTATCAGATTCGTGGCTATCTGCCACTTTGAGGCACAAACCTTTACAGCTGCCCCACAGCTTGTTTCATTCATCTGTAGACCCTTCCTTTTGATCAGTTCCAACAGCAGCAGACCTTTGGCCCAAGCCATTTGACCCAACGCATTGCTTGTCGAATTGAAGGTGATAACATCTGACCGAACGGACCGCACGTGTCGCATTCTCAGCAACGCAACACTTCGAAGCCACATGCCACTGGCAAATGAATTGGATGCAGAGTTGTAGCTGATGGCATCCAAGGTGGCTCGCACGTAGGATGCCCAAAGCAACATGCTGGCTGCCACCTGCCACTCGCCACAGTTGGAACAAACACCTATGGCCGGATTAAGCTGCACAGTTGCCCAATGCCGATCACCGCATGGTTCCCCACCAGTTTTCCATTGTTTCTGCTGCAGAAAAGTGATAGCGGTTGCCCATCTGTCGGATGTGCTGGAACCGTTACTTTTCTCAAAGGAATGCACTGCTGCGGCAAGGACCAGATCATCAGGTGCCACAGCCCATGTTTTCATCTTGGAAACGAAATCAAGTGCGTGTGACCATCCATCAGCATAATGAAACGCTTTGATTGCTGCACTGCAGTGGAAAATGTTCAGTTGCAAGCTGGCGCCCTGCAACTCCAAGAGGATCGCAGCCATTCCTTCTGAAGATCGAAACTTTTGGGATGCTGCATTGGATGTGAGTGAGCCAATGAAGGAGGTAACTGCTTTCGGATCAATGCTCGTGGTCTGAAGCATTGTGCTGTTGACTCCCGCATACGCATGCCATGTAAGGCTGCGGCCCCAACTCTTGTCAACTGACCATCATGAAATGCCGGTCACAATTTGCCCTTTGCCAGAGGTCCAGGCCATATGTTTCCAGTCTCAACCTCGGAATCGTGTCTACTACATCCCATCTTTGGCACATAGGCAAAAGATGGCTAAAGTGGGCATCAGCACCCCTCCCGGCAAATCCATTCGCAGTGGCTTGCGGCTTGAGAGACACGGATTGAAACATGAACAGCGTAAATCAAACCCAACCATCAAAAACTATCAAAAACTGCCATGAATGACACGTCAGAATGAATAACGCAGCGGAAAACCAAGGAATTTTGAACAAAGTTCAACCTTTTTTTGCGCGGGGCGTCTTTTGCGCACGGAGTCTCGCTTCACATTGACAAGGAATGACAGAATGCAATTTCGACGGTACGGCATTGTTACCGGCATCACAAGTCTTCCTCATCAACTTTTCGTTCCTTCCTCACAGCCCCAGCCTGTCCGAAGGTCGGTGAACCAAGCTCACATCAAAAATAGCCATGTTGCACGAGCCTTCTCCGCTTGTGGCACCTTTTCCTGACTAGTTCCAGTGGAAAACTACCCAAAACTTGCCCGGAGCTGGTGCAGGGCAATGTCATAAAACCATCAAGGGCTCCTTGTGCTTGGCGCCTTTCTCTTTCTTCGACTTGGGCTCTTTGGTTTCCTGGAGTGACATTCCCAATGACGGGCATCACAAGGGCCTGTGTGTGGTGATAAACTCTCGTCCTTCATTGGCTTCATGACCTGGACTTCCTTTCCAGCCTGGGCAGAGCCCAGCTCTCTGAGTCTGCGAGTTGTCAGCTTCCACACATGATCTGCACCGATCACCGAAGCACTACCGACACCTTCTTGCTCTTGTCCTTTTCCTGCAAGACTCAGCAAAAATCAATCTGATTCAACTGGTTGTCGGCTTTGCAGGCTGCCAAATCTGCATTGCCGGTTCGGCAATGGGCCTCTTTGCGTTCTTTGGTCTTCTTTGAGCGTTTCTCTTTTTGCATGCCATATGGATCCATCATCATTGCCATCTGTGGATGGAACTGAGGGACCTGCCTCAGCAAACAAAGGCATAACTCAGAACGCACTAAATCTATCAACAGCACGCCCTAGGTCCCTAGGTTAGTGTTGATTTACAAAAAAGTTGAAGTCGTCAGTCAGGGCATAAGAGCTCGGCATATGAATCATCTCCGGTGGCACCACCACGAAAGGCCCAGCTCCCATCCTTACCAGGGCCAGAGTGTGGATCTCGTGTCATGAAATCACTAAACTGAGGGCCGTACATCATGGGATCCATCATGGGCGGCATTCCCATCATTGGCTGCGATGGAGCCACACCTCTCGACCGAGCCTTGGGAAAGCCGCCAAGATCACCACAAGTACCACAAAGATTGGTAGCAATGTGCAAAGTTTGGGGCCCAAGCTTTGTCTTGGGGCCAGGCACGCATCCTCAACAGGATTTGTGGAAAGGAAAAATCATCTCGCAATCATCAAACACTCACGTTGATCATATTTCACAATCATCCTAATATTGGGTTCACCATCTATTTCCGCATCTCAACTTGTCTATTCGTGTCTCCCTTTTTCATTGGCTCCTGTTGGAAGGAACTTGCGAAGCAGGCTCTCGAACTCCTGTGACCCCAAATCTTGCAATCTTTTCCCAAAGGATGGCGACCACGACACTGCCAAGGCCACACATGGACAAATAAAACTCTGCATGTGGAATGACAAGTGTGTATATATATATGTGTGTGTGTAATTATATTCCAGCTCTATGGACCTTGGCCAGGATGCTTTGCTCTGGCCCGGAGTTTGTCTCGATAATCTGAAGCTGCCTCAAACAGGCATCAACCTCCCCTGGAAATTGAACCCACTGCATGCCCAACAAGGTTGGAAAGTTCTAGCGCAATGAGCCTCCCCAGGCTTCAAAAGCTCACTTTCGGAGTGGGCAAGCGTACATAAGTTTCCTGGCACACTTTCTCAGGCAGGGGAGAGATTTTCAAAAAACAGCGTACGGCTTGGTCATGCAGTCCTTTGTGACATTGACCCTTCAAAAAAGCGGGGCAGTATTTAGTCCTCAGTTTCATGCACATCAGAAAGAAACCATCAATCCAATAGCTGGAGTCCCAGACTTGTACTCGTGTGAGGGAGGTGCCTTGCGCCAAAGTGATACAACCGTCACCAGCTTCAAATCGTCACAACGGGAGCCTCCATGCTGTCGCCAGAGTCTGATGACCGCAGCTCGGTCACTTTTGCCTTCTGACTCTCTCCAGCCTTGACGGCCCCCCTCTCAAGCATACAATGTTATCAGTTATCACTGTCATCACTGAGTGTACTGAAACAGTTCTTAATCACATCCCACAAAGAATCTTCGAAGCACTTCTTCCCTAGTTCTGCCTGGGTGCATAGCATGCATGGCAACAATAAACCTCGGTATGCTTGCCGGGAGCTCACCTGCAAGCTCTCCCCCTCCAGCTTCCGCTTTTCTTTCTTTTCCTTTTTTGTCTTCTCTCCTTCTTTCTTCTCTTTTCGCTCCTTTTTGTCTTTCGTCTTCTCCTTTTTGTTGTCGGTATTTGCCAGCGGACCCGCCGACGGCACTTCTCGCAATGAATCATTCTTTTGGGACTCCACCTGCAAACAAGCAAAGAAAATGAAAAGATGAACGCGCCACCCCAAACATTCGCCCACCGCCAAGTCTTACACCGCAACAGAACACTGGCGATACACAGTGATTGTAACTTTAAGCGTCTAGCAGTCTAGCATCTCCAGTTTTAGGGTTTTTTTTAGGTTTTAGTTGTATTTTGAGGTTTTTTTTGGAGATCCAAATTCTGGCCCTTCGCAGGGAGCATGTCAAAGGACATGTGGGATCTCTGTCCGGCAAATGTCTGTTGAAGCTCAAGTCGCTCTTGTCCATGAACCAATACATTCTTAAATGTTCACCCCACCCCCTGGACACCTCAATCTCCTGTGTCTTTGGCGGGCTATCCTGCTCCTGAGCTTTCCGATTTTCTGGCTCCGTGGGCTCCATGGGCCCATTGCTGAAGCCACCTGAAACACCCGAGGTCCCATTATGCCAGGTGCTTGGCTCCTTTGTCTGACCAGGAAACAGCCTGAGGGCTCAGCCAAGCCCATCTGATTGATGTGCTGAAATTGCTGACAACTCAGCTGAGGAAGGAGCAACCTCAGCAAAGGGGACAGAAAGAGAAAGCGAGACACCAGGCCCACTGCAAACAACGTGTAGACACATGCAACCATATATGCAGCCATTTACATCTACATTATCCATTTGTATGATGTATCATGATGTATCTACATGAATGTATGCAGCATACATTTACATGCATTTACATACAAGAGTTTTCGGTCGGAAATTGAGAGCATCACATCCACGGCCTGGAGATCGCTTTCACCCCCAGTTTCAGGCTTTCCTGCCTGATTGCCATCAAGCTCCTTGCAGGAATTTGAAGGCTTGGGTCACCTGGGTCTCCCTATGCCAGTCACGTCAGGCTTGTCACTCGATCCATGGGACTCGTCAAATTTCTCCTCATCTGATGTGGGCAAGTCAATTTGGACGCGGTCCTCCTGAATGAAACGTCGCAGGCGCACGTTTCAAAAGAGACGATGGAAACGGCTGTCCTCACCCTCTGCTTTGTACAAAAGAGGCTGCGCCCAATCCTGATGACACCGACCAGCAGGATCCGCCAGTCATGATAAGCTCCCACGCATGCTGAGAATTAACACGAGTTCAAGTACAAGCCACAAAAAGCATCCAACATTCTCCCAAAGCTCATTTTTCATTTTGATGTTGAAAGAAGGCGGCAAGTCCTTGCCGCTTGTTTGATAAAGGTTGACTTCCACAAACTCAACCAGGACCTGACGCCAAGTACGTGGCAAAAGGTAGGATGTTGATGCCTACTTTTTGAAGAGATTGCTTTTCCAGCCTGTCTGGGAGGTTTTTGCGCTGAAGAGAAAGTCGGCGCAACTTCTCTTTTTTCACACAACCTAAGCATATCTGAGCATCTGTGGAGATCCGTCGCCTGACTTTGTCTCCCTCTCCCTCTCTCTGTCTGACTCTCTCTCTCTCTCTCGCACTACGTTTGGCCCCTGACTCTTCCCAGCTTTTCTTCCATCCTTCATCTCCAGCCTTCAGTCCAAGCCTGACCTGTCATCGAAGCAGAAATTTGCCATGTGAAAAAACCCGCACGTATTATTTATATATATATCTCTCTCTCTCTATCTATCTATCTATCTATCTATCTATATCTACTTTGTCCTAAAGAAGCAAGGCTGGCCAATTGCTCGAGAAATCTCGTGTCATTCCAGTCAATAGACCTGATCCAGGCTCGGCAAGAACTTTGTCTATACATTAAGTGCAGGAAGCTTCTTAGCCACGGGCCGGCGCACCATTTTAGGGGCTTCCCCACTGCTTTCCTGCACGCATCACACTCAAGGCGGAGTGAGTATACTGGGTACGCTGCTCTGGTAGACTGGCCACACTTGCAGCAACACCCATCCTTTCGCACATCTTGTGCAATGCGAAGGCCGGCGGCACCCCTTCCCCTTGCTGCGAACTCGAAGCCTCTGAAGCTCTGGGTGGCAGTTAGAAAGGTCAAGTGAAGCAATCAAAGCACCCAACATGCATGCCATTGCATGCCCATACATACCCAACACATCAGGCTAGGTATGGTCCAGTTGATCCGACGCCGTCCTTGAGACCGACCGTTTGTTGCTCTGAGAGCTGTGCCTAAGGCTTGAGGCTCTCGTGCTGGACTACCTCCAAGGAGTCTCTGCACAACAAATCTCTGGAAAAAACTATCCAAAATCCCTGACCTGATGAAGGTGTGGGTCCTGTCTTTGACTTGGCCCCACCACCTCCAAAGGATAGAACCTCGGAAGATGCAGCGGTTGAAATCCAAGATGCTTGGCATATAAGACTCCGTAGTGGGGTGGCAGGGTTTGCAGTCTGAACAACACAGCAACGCCACTCTTGCAGCGTGACCGGGATTCAAACCGTGCGCTGGGATGGAGCCGAACCAGATTCAGCAGCCACCTGGCAAGACTCTGCAACGGTGAGGATGGATGGGAAGACCCAGTACCCATTCCAAGCCGCAACCTCGTTCGAAATGATCTCAGCGTTGGGGCTTGCCTCTGGCAAACCTGTTGCGCATTGCCACTGTCATGCATTGTCGATTCCAGACCCACACAACGTGATGCAAAAGCACAGCAAGCAGAGCCTTCATCCGCATCAAGTTCGATTCTAGCAGAGGTGGACAAACATAACTGCCTCAGAAAAGATTACATAAGATAGTGGCATAGCGGCTTGCAGGAAAAACTGAATAGAAGCGCTGATGTGCCTACAGCTCATTTCGAAACTGGCTAAGCTGCACACGTCGGTTCGTTGGACGCATCAACGTTGAATGCATCCAACTGCTGGCAGAGTCTCAGAATGACCGCAGGCCGCAGAGTGTGGTCCTTGTTGCGATGGCACTTGATTGATATCTCTGGCTCCAGCATGCCAAATTAGCCCATTAGTCCACAAAGCAACCTGGTCGCTCAGGGCAGGACTGGGCAATGGGAAACATTCAAATGACCCACAGCGGCTGGTTGACACTTCTCTCGCGCAAAATCTACGAACCTGAAATCAAAGGTGATCACCAAAAATGGCAGTCAGATCTGTCCACTGGTTGCACGACATCTTTGCTTGGGGCAGCCACTCACGTGTGACAGGACAGCTGGCCATAGGCCACGCTGACAGTCTGGTTGAAGGCAGCTCACCTTCCAGCATCAAACACACACAGAGGCCAAGCAAAGCTTCTCCGCAACTAATAAAGCTGAGCAGAAGGATTCCAAAGTATGGCTCATGTCTGCGCCTTGGCTCAAGGTTTTGGCCGCCCTGGAATGCCTGCTGGTGGCCACGGGTCCCAGTAAGCGACTTCAAAATGTGTCTCCCGTGTCTCCCCATTGCGGGTAAAAGAAGCCGCACCGAGCAAGCGCTTTGGCTAGGCGGTCTTGCAGTTCCTGGGCGCCATCACTCACAGCTAGTCACTAACACTACTAACACTATTCATTCCTGTTTTACATTGTCAAGAAGGTGCTTGACAGCAAAGTCTCCTCTTTCAGGTGCTTGACAGCAAAGTCTGCAGCCGCTTGCCACACAACGCAATAGCCTTCTAGCCTTGCATCATGCCATTTTGTAAGTACCTGCGCTTCGAGTGCGGGCGGGTACAAATCTGTTGGACATTCAGCTCAGCGCCAGGGCACCTGATCGTTACGCACTGTAAAGAACACACCTGAGGGATGGGGCCAGGCAAGTGGTGGATATCATATCATAAGATATCTATGTACCATGGGACTGGAATTGCCATCCGGCCGCCCCACCGAAAGATGCGATGACGATCACATCAGCACAAGCTAACTTCATCTGAGCACGTAGCGTGCCAGACTCTCAGCCAGGATCAACACGTGGGGTTGCTCAGCCATTTGCGGTCGCAGGAGGGCAGGGTCCTCAGAAGGATCCCGTTGTACACACCACAAGACTCACTGAATCACTGAAGAGAGCTTTTCGGTAAACTGAAATAAATTTGCCCGAGAGAGTCACCTGCACCGCTCGGATTGCCCCAGCCAGCGCAAGCAAGAAGCGTGTCTTGGAGTCCAAGTCGCAGCAATGCCTCCAACAAAGTAATTGGATGTATGGCGGCAAGTGCGCTGGCCAGTAGAAACCCACCACCCATCGAAGCAATTTGGCAGTTCCCTTTTTGCCTGAAATGCTGCAACTGGGGTGCCCCATCAATCGCCTGGGATGGGGCATCTGACAACCACAGAGCTGCCAGGTTGCTGCGATCTGAGGCAACAGGCTTTGAACTGCGTCAATAGCAGGTGAGGCAGCACCTTGCTGCACCAAAGACGACCAGAAAAAGTGGAAAACTGCAGCAAAGACAAGTTCGCAGTTGATATCTCTGATATCAGTTGATTGGGTAAAGAAAGCTTTGCATTGCTGTGAGTATTCAGTATTCATCATATTCATCTTGCAGCCTCCTGCGCTTCAGCTTGAGCCTAAGGGAAAAACGAAGCCGCAACAAACGCTCAAAATCTCCCTGACTCGGCTCAAGTCTCTACAGAGGCTGAGGGCGGCTCGCGTGCAAGACAGTGGTTGAGACCCTGCGTGAGGTCTCGAACCCTCCTTGCAATGTCCTGGCCTTGAACAAATTCAAAACGTCACTTGAAAAGATGATCAAAAAAAAAATCAGAAAAAATCTAGGAATCAAGATCAATGTGTGCATGGGTGGATGTATACATATACATCCGCCTACATATCGAACATTTACCACAAGACAATGTTGGTTCGAACACGACCGAAAGACTCGTCTTGGCATCAAACGCAATGGTGAGGTCGCATCAAGAATCCGCTGCAGCCTTGGCCCAGGATGACTTCGGTGACTTCAAAGCCACGCGGCAAAGTCACTGTGGATTGCAGGTGCATCTGAGCCACCAGCTGGCCTCAGCAGCAAGTTGAAGCAAGTTTATCCCACAGTGTCACCAGCATTGCATTTTTTGAAACCAGAATTTCATCATCAACAAATGGTAGAAATTGAGTTCTCCTTGAGATTTCCTGGGGCTTCTGCTACCATCAAATTTCACCAAATGCCGACCAAGTCTGCTCCAGGTCGCTTGGTCTATGGAAGAACGGACACCTGGAAGACAAAGGCACTGACAAACCATCCTATCACATCCTATCACATCCTATCACATCCTATCACATCCTATCACATCCTATCACCAAACGAGACCTTTTGAACGTGATATCACGTGATAGTGTATGCATCCCGAGCAAAACCACAAATCAGAGAATCGTCCCCCATTTTGGGGGGGCACAGGAAAAGCAACACGTAGAGAACTTTTCAAGATGCAGATGCATTTTTTGTCTAAATCAAACTTTCTTTAGAAGTGCATGCTTGCATTGTGATGAAAGCTATAATGTCCGAGAAAAAACGTGATTAGCGGCAACAGGATCACTTCAGAACACCATCCAAGCCATCACTTCAGAACACAGGGCATCATGGGACTGGCAAGGGCAGCACAATAGGGCAATAACGTTCATGTTCCTTTTCACGCAGAGGCACTGCACCCTGATCATGATCTTGGGGTAGGGTTTGGGGTGGGGGGGGTGGGGCAATAACGTTCCTCTGCACACAGAGGTACTTCACCCCTCATCATACTCAAAGATATTGTCTAGATAACGCAGGATCATCTCCCACGTTCCAAAGCGATGGTTGAGAATGCGTTGCAAAGCAATGGTCCGCTCCGCGTAACGCAAGGGCCTCACCGTAGTTAGGTGACAAACGTTGCGTAGGAAATTGGCACCGCAGGCTGCAAGAATGCGACAATGTTTTTCCAGCTGAGGAGCCATTTCACTTGCGTACCTAGATTGCCACTAATAATTTTATCTATAATAAAGCCTACACACACACATATATATATATCTATCTATCTATCTATCTACCTATCTATCTATCTATCTATCTATCTATCTGTGTGTGTGTGCGTGAGTACAGGACAATAATACAATAGGTGAATATGCCATCTGGGCTTTACCATTGCTCGACCATGGATACGTGTCTGCCACAAAGGATTAAAGTGCAAAAGCATGCAGAGGTGAAGACACGAGACATCGACAGCAGCCCTTTTGCCTGAAACATGAGCTCCTAGATTCTCTCCTAGCCTCATCTCAGGTGAATACTTAGTAAAAATGAATATCTCTGCCAGTACCACCTCCAGGTGGGTTCCAATCTAGGCCTTCCAATTCCTGGCAGGCAAGAGAGATGGCCAAAGAAATAATAGCACCTCTTGAGATCTCAATGAGATCTCAATAAGGTATATAATCAGGTTCTGACAAAACCAAATCATCTCATCACTTCCAAGATTTTTCCCTCTCGGACCCGGGTCCTGAACGACCCGGTTGAGATCTGGAACACTCCAGAACCGCTCCTGTGCAAAACGCGGATCCAAGACGTCTGCACGGGGAGACGGCCAATCCAGTCCTGGTCCAGCCGCTGCAAGACTTGCAGCAATCCTCAGAATTCCCGAAAAAGGAACTGAAGCTGCACTGAAGCTGCACTGAAGTTAAGAGGACCATCACCTTTGGCAGCTTTTCAGTACAGCCAACATCCAGTCCCAACCAACGAAGCTAACAAAATTGCAGTATGACTGAGGTATCCGCTGATCTCAGCCTCCATATTGGACTGCGCCGCAGCCCAGCTTGAACAGAACAGCTTCAGCACAAATAAATGACAAGTGGCAAGAGTCGCTAGCATTTGATGCATTTGTAGGTGGGATCTTTCCCTTGTCTAGCCATCAGTGTCTGGAAACCTGCGATCTCATAATAGCTGTTGGTCCGGTTCAGGGTTCGCAGTATTTGCCAAGCAAAAGCTTTGAAAACCTCCGTGCCTTGGCATAATCACTCGGCATTCCATCGCAAAGATGGCAAGCGAAAATCTTGGTGAAAATGGACGTGTTGGCAGGAGACTAGGTGTGATTCTTCTGTACAAGCTAGTCATCGGAATGTTGCGGACAAATGCGGAGTTTATTGAAATGCTCACTGGCTTTGCCTTTTGGCAGGACCTCAAAACACCTTGCCTTAGCAACAGCACCAACTGCAGCGAAGCTTTCCCACATCTCAAGCTGTGCCCATGCAAGAAACGCAAGGAAAGGCGGTGTTTCACAGGGCAACTCATGGCAACACCCATGGCAACTGGCAACCATTGGCAACCATTGGCAACCCACATCGGCATCATCGGCTCCAGACACAAAACTGCGTCATGCACGCGTAGCAGCGCAAATGGTTGTTCTTTCCCTCCCGCAGAACGGGTGCCCTGCACCGAGGACCTCATGGCTCGCTCAAATCCGACCGCATGCTGTTGCCCGCTCACAACTGGACACTTTATGGGCACATATTAGTAGGCATGTAAAAAACATTCTCTAATGTATCTGTGCGTGTGTGTGCATGTGTGTGAGTATATGGGCACATACGTCGTATACCGTATATGTGGCTGTGCACAGTTGCATCAGTATTTCACGGCGGAGGTACTGCAGCAGCTGCAGCATGTGTCTGAGTTCCCAACACTCCCGACTTTGCTGTCGGAGCTGCTCTGGGTCAATAAACTGGGCCAAAAAGCGTGCCTTGCATGGAGCCGGATGAGTTGAGCCTGGAATGCCATGGAGCCTGGTGATTTTGCCGGTTGTTGATGTTGTTGCACCTCGTGAGCCCGTGCTTGAGCCTTGTCCACTTGATGGACCTCAGGGTAGCCGTCTACAGCCTTTGAAGAAGACAAGGACAGCTCCTGAGTCAGCGACCCTCTGGTTCCATCGCCGGATCTCATCATCATCGAACAACCGGCATTCGCTGGTGGCAAAATGATCGTAGCCAGAGATCAGCTGCCCACATCGCCAGCAGAAGTGAATCTTGCAATTCCTGAGCGCAAATGCGCTGGCGGCTGCGATGGCGGATGCCACGGCTGGTGCCACTGCGGGTGCCATGGCTGTGGCCACTAAGAATGGCACCCACACAGGACTTTGCTGCAGCCCTCTGACTTCTCGATTCCCATGTTGCCTCAGCATCTAAGAGTACAAGGTGAAACAAGCCTGACATACCCTGACTAAATACAGTAAATCTTGGCTTTCGAAATCGTGATTCGTTCCTACTTGACCTTCAGATTTTGCCTTTGTCCCTTGCAAACATTCCGAGGGGCCCTGCATTTAGGGCATTTCTTTGTAGTTTTTGCTAAATGCCGCAAAGTCAGCAACTCCGCGCGTGCAGCAGCAGCCTGCAGAAAGTGGACAGAGATGCCATAATTTTGCCCTCGGATCTCCTCAGATCTCCTTGGATCTCCTCGGATCTCCTGCCTCAGGGCCAATCCCAGCTGCTCTGGATTCCAGTGCTTCCATCCGATCATCAACAGAGGCACACTCAGCACCTCAGTTGACTCACTTGGCTCGGCCACATCCCTGCCGGATCAGCCCCCTGCCTGGATGATACACCTGGCACCGAGGGCACGAAGTGCCGCCACTTGGTCATGTTGGTCACTTTATAATCACTTTGATGCACAGGACTTGGGTACCAGCGTGGTGAGTCTTGGACATTCTCTCGTGTCATCACTCTGGTCACTCTTGTGCGTAAAACCATGCCGGAGTCACAGCACGACATTTGCCACAGAAAACAAAACCGCAAACTTCACATCGGGCCATATGGTCCTCGTCTTGAATGCAAGGAACTCTGTTGCCATCGCCCTCCAAGTCACACCGTGGGCAGTAGACAATGTCCTGGCAAAACCATTGGTGCGACAGAAATCCAACCCATGAGAAAGTACAGCCATCCCTCCTCCATTGTGTCCAGGTAGTGCTTGAAGCTTAGTTCTTCCCATTTCTGAAGCAACTTGGAATCTGGACCTCAAAATTTACGGCAGAAAAAGACACGAAACAAAGCAAAGTTGAAACGCCATCCCTCTTCAGCATTCCAAGATCTGTCGAAGCCGTACTGTTTTTTTCATCAACTGCCGATCTACGTTTGGAGCTGCTGCGGTTTATGTCTCCACAGCTGTCCAGAGTCTTGCAACTGGTGAGCGCAAGGACACGCGTCTCACTAAAGTTTGCACAGGCAGTTAGGACCTCTTTACACATGAAAAGCATTGAAAAGCCACAAAAAGCCTATGGACAAAAGGTGCGGTCAATTATCTTACTCATCATGTTCGGTCTTTATCCTGTGCGCACGCCGGGATGAGTCACTCAGCGTCCATACTTTTGGAACTCCCACTCTCCATTGTCTAGAGGGCACACTTGCCTTGCAAAGGGGCTAGGGAGTCCATCAGCTAGGGAGTCCATCAAAGCTGGAAAACAAAACTACGACCTCCAAGCCGATCTAACAAGGTATTTCCAAAGCATTGCTGTAATTTCTGCAACTATATGCAACGGAAATCCATTAACACCTCGGGCTACCAGATTGCCAGTTTCCACATCTTTCCATGCTTCCAGTGGTTCGCGCCAAGCTTCCGAGTTTTGAGCCACCGAGAGATGCAATGGAAGTGGAACGCATGATTGCAAACCCCCCAAGCCACTGTGCACTCCTCACTCGTGTGGGATCCTTGGTTGGCCTCAGGGCAGCCACGAATCGCCCCCTTCGGCTATCTTCGGCTCATGACACTGCAAAAATCTACAAAAAATAGAGTTCACGGGACCCCACCTGACACTCGATGCACAAGTCCATGATGTGGTTTCGACAAATGGCACAATTGTCCACGACGATATCCCATGCCCACAAGGCCACTGCACTCCATTTCCTCAGTCGAAAGGCTGTTTAGGACGATACTGCACCCAATCGAAAACCACCAATCGGAGAAGGCTAATACAGGGTTTTACTAGTTTATACCACCCATTTGTGGTGTGTGGTTTTAGGTTTTTAGGTTTATATCATAAGACTTAACATCATTTCACTCTAAACTTACAGAACGATATATATATATAGTGTAGATACAGATATAGATATACGTATATATTGTGTATGTATATGTATATATATTGTTGTACTCCTCCTGGGATCCACCTCAAGGCCTCTTGCATCATGTCCTTCAAGACACACATAAATATATATAAGACACACACATAGATAATCAAAGGAAGTTGGGAAGCAATACTTCCGTGTTACGGGCAAATAGAATTCTGAGACTTGAAATGATGAAGTGTGGTGCGCGACTGAGACTTGACCTTGATGAAGGGTGGTGTGAGACTTTACACTACATCACAATACATCAGAAAAGAATTGACTTTGATGAAGGGTGGTGTGAGACTTTACATTACATAACAATACATCACAAAAGGATTGACCTTGATGAAGGGTGGTGTGAGACTTTACATTACACAACAATACGTCACAAAAGGATTGACCTTGATGAAGGGTGGTGTGAGACTTTACACTACATAACAATACATCAGAAAAGAATTGACTTTGATGAAGGGTGGTGTGAGACTTTGCAAAACAATACATCAGAAAAGAATTGACTTTGATGAAGGGTGGTGTGAGACTTTACATTACAGAACGATACACCACAAAGGATTGACCTTGATGAAGGGTGGTGTGAGACTTTACACTACATCACAATACATCAGAAAAAAATTGACTTGGATAAAGGGTGGTGTGAGACTTTGCACTACATAACAATATATCAGAAAAGAATTGACCTTGATGAAGGTTGGTGTGAGACTTTACAGTCATAATTTAGTTTTACCACGGCCTAAATCTCCCTCTAGACTAATAACACAGTTACTTTTTTTAATTACATAATCTAATATGCTATGTGCAACTTTTTTGTATCTTGCTCGTTATGTACTATAAATTATTTTTGCTGCAAGGATTGATAAATAAGGTTACTGAATAAAGAGATTTTACTTATGTTTACTATAAATGCACATTTAAAACAGTATGCAAATTTAATTTTTACTATCATGTTTTTTTATTGGTTTAGCCAGTGCTGTTAGCACAAAGTTGTGCCTAAAACAATCCTAGCAGCTCTGGGCAATGCAATAATAATTTTTGGTAGTATTTCGCGAAACAAAACTAAACCTATAGACATAACAATAGAAGAAATTGTCTGCCCTTTTTCTTTGCCAAAAATATCTATTAAAGTTGGTGTTGCAATAGTGGTTGCAATAGTGCTGAAAACAGTAAAAGCAATGAAATAGAAGCAATAATCTGTTCTTTTTTTGGTAGCAAATTTCTTGACGTTGTTTTAGCACTATATGGTCTTTTGGAAAGTGTATAATTTGATCTACACTGACAGAAGTAATAGCAGTTTCAATATCAGAAAGAACCCAGCAAGTATAATAAATAATAAAACTAAAAATACATTTAACAAAATTATAGTAAATGCAAATAAAAAAGAAAAATATATATCTAAATAAATAGCTTGTGAAAAATTAGAAAGCTTATCATTGTGTTCAAAACAACAAGAGTGTTAAAGATTATTGTTTAGATAGTGTGTGATAAGTATATGAGTGAAATTATATAACCACATAGGATACAACAAAATGCGTTTTATACTAGTACTAACAACCTAATCTTAACAATATTACTAATTATATTTTGTATCCTATATGTAAGTAAATTGTATAGCACATACTAATTAATACAAGCATGCTAAGTTGTTTTACACACATGACATAGGACATTTATGCATACAAAAAATGCACAGTTTGTTATTATATAATATAAAAACACTTTGTTACTTGGGCTAGCATATATGTGTGTGTGTGCGTGTGTAATTATATATATGTGTATATATATATAACTACCAAGTTCTCCGAGTGACTTGATCTCAAAGCGCCTCTCTCCACTTGGACCGGGATCATCAGATGAAGCAGCCATCTCCTAAGCGACACCAGCAACACAACTATGGGACAACCAAGGGCTTTGTAGGAAGAGAATGGCGGCAAGCGGCTGAAGAACTGAACACCACACGCCTTTGAACCCTTTGAACTGTCGAACTGTCCCAATTCCACTAGCTCTGCATCCCAGCCGTCCTGCCTTGCAAGACAGCCTCACAAATGGGACTCGCCCAATTGAGGAGCCGTACTCCACTGCAACTCTCGAGCCAGAAGTTTCAAAGGGTGAAGTTTAAAGTTGCAGGAAATCTCGTCCAAACACAAATATAGCAAGGTCCTTTGAACTCACTCTTAAATACCTCTTAAATACCTCAATAAGCGACTCGAAATGGAATACATTCAATACATTTCAATACTAGACTCACTAGACCAGGAATTCGAGGATTTCACTGGGCCTTCGGGAAGGGATTAATTTCCCCACTTTGAAACTCAGGTTCCGCTGGGATCCTCGCCTAGGAGCTGCCGAAGCACATCTCCATCAAAGCACACGCGACAATCCGGCACTGGACAGCGCAATGCGGTGACGTCAGCCTCAGGTGACTCACACCAAACACAGACGCAGCGCATATCACCTAAAGCGAGCCTGAAACAACGAACATCAAAGGACCCTGGTCACATGTAAACACGTGAAATTGAGTTGGGGAAAACCCGAGATGTCGCTGGAGGAAGCAGCTGTCCCTGGAGGAAGCAGCTGTCCCATGGAATGAAGTAAGTTAAGTAAGTGAAGAAGTTGAGGGCAAATGTCATTCCGTTCGCATGCATGCCCTACTTTCTGAACTAAGGAAGTGCCTCTGATGTGTGAATGTTTGCCATCTGCTGCAAGCAATCCCGGCCTCGCATCAGAACACAAACCAAGGTCACTAAGGCATTCAGAGTCTTTAACCAGCACAAAATGACATACATGTATAAATATACATATATATATGTGCATATACATACAGATAACACATACACATACATATCTGTGCGTGTATCTATTTATCTCTATCTGCTTATTTATTTGCGTATTTATATTCAATGCATACAACATATCATTTCAGGCTCAGGCATCCAAAGTGTCCGCAGGACAGGAAAATACCTCTGGAGCCTGGAAGCTCGTCAAAGCACACTGGACAGACCTGACAAATATGACTCGTGCAAGCGCGGCGAAGTCGTTCAAACACACTTCGTCATAGCCGAAGAAAGTCAATTCCTGAATATTCAACTTATTTAACATGAGTTTAGCTCGATATTCAGCAAAATTCACCAATTTCCCGGAACTTGATCTTGGTTTGCTAGATGATGCAGCGCCTGATTTTCACGTTGCCGACGCTCCTCTTTGGCACGTCGATCATGCTGTAGCAACTTCATTGCTACTTCCATTGGATCTTCCTGCCCACAAAAACCAACATAGGCTCAAGTCACCGAACCTGAGACGAATGCCACAACAAAAAAGCCTCGCGGAACATGTCTTGCGTCAGCAGGATCCTCTCTGTGACAAAGATTTCTTCCTGGAAAGGTGGTCTACATCCATGGTCCCATGGCAGCTGTCAGGCTGTAAGCAGGTCAAGTCTGCTGAGGGGAAAATGCTGAGGAATAATACTCTCAGTATGAAAATGTTCAACTCTCGTCTACTCTATGCCTATGCATGCAAAAGTGCACAAATGTAAACACTTATATATAGATATATATACCCAAAAACAAAACCAAATGTATATTCGACCGTCACTGATACGCTCGAACACCCCGTGGTAGGCTTCCTGAAGCTTGCAAATCCAATCAAAGACACTTGTACTTTGTCCAGCTTCTTCTTGAAGGATCTGCCTTGCTGTGACATACATCCAAGATTGCAAATTCAGTTTCACTCAACATTGCACAAGACTTGGAGGGCTTACTACCAAGAATGCATGAAACTTTATGGGTCACTGGATCTTGAATATGGACCCAAATCCAAACCGATCATAACTATATGTTGCTGTCAATCCCTATTTGGCTCACTTCGACTGAGGGGGTGTCTCCAGAGACTCAACATCTGCATCGCCCAAATGACTTGCCTCAAGGAATAACACAGTTCAATCAAATAATGAAACACAATTGTTTGACTCCTTGCTTTCTTTGCTGTGCAAATCAAAGCGCGTTGGACAACACGCAGTGTCCTAACACTGGAAGCCTCCAAAACCAAAGCTGGTGCAGCAGGTTCCAGTGGAAACTGAGGTGGTAAAGCCTGAAACAACAACAACACGATATTCAATGGCCCAATGGCCAAGTATCCAGGTATCCGATGGTATCCGGAAGCAGCAAATCTGTATCCGGGATGCTGGCGATCAAAAGCACTGCTGGTGGAAGCTCTTCGACCAACCCAGCTGGGACCTGGTGACCACTGGTGACCACTGTTGAGGGTGACAGCTGACAGCATTCGACGGTTTTTTTTTGTCAAAACGCCATGGGAACTCCGCACCAGTTGCGCCCAAATTGTTTTTGCCCTTGCAGGGTGACTTGCTTTGGTCATCAGAACCCTGTCCGAAGATGTCAAAAGGATGTCAAAAGGAGATGCAATCCTATCATGCATCATACTTTGCAGAAATGTGCCAGTCCATGCTGCCCTGCTTGGTGCAGTTGCTGTGTCTGGCAATGCAAAGGTTGTCGTGTGGGGGTGGGTCCTATCCGGCACCACGTGAAAAGCAACGGAAATGTGGTGTTCTATAGTTCAGTTGGGCCGTGATTTTGCACGTACCACTGCGTCTGTTCAGCATGCACCATGGCCACCATGAGACGAGACTTCGAAGAGAAACAATTCTGAATTGCAAGGGTGAATCGAGTCAGACTCGACTGACCGTCTCGTAAGCGGCCTGGTGCACTATTCTATTCGAAACCCTTTTGTACATGCCACAACTTCCATAAACCAAAATTGCAAAGTTGCCATCGCCAAAACCCCAACGCATTTGAGGCTAAGATGGACGGCCAAAGGCAAACAGGAAGAACTTGGAACTACTGATTTTCAACTAACTAGTAGCATCTATAGTCTATAGTCGCTATAGTGCTCCGCTATAAGGGGAACCTGGCCTCCATGCACTGTACAACACACGTTCAATCGCTCGTCTCTGTCCACTGTCAGGTTTCCCCCTGGCCTCCACCATGTTTCAGTGTCACGATGCCAAGGCAAGGCCTCACTTTGACTTGGCTGAAGGTGAAGCACCGGATTTACATGTCGACCTATGCCGTCTGCCACTTCCATCCACTTCCCAGCACCATGGTGGGTAGCGTGGGTACCGTGGGTACCGTGGGTACCGTGGGTACCGTGGGTACCGTGGGTACCGTGGGTACCGTGGGTACCGAGGGTACCGTGGGTACCTTGAATCTTTGGTGATTTTGGTGGCAGCTCTGCATGGCGGCCTAGTTCTTTCTCTTTCAGGCCCTTGGAGACGGGATCGCCCTTGGTCACTGTGGTCACTGGGACTGTGCTGGGCAACTTTGAACGGTGGAGATTCGGGCAGACCGTCCTTTCACACGCCCGAAGCTGCAGCAACAAACACTTTGGATAGACGAAGCTATCGGTGAAATCGTTTCGCTTCACAACATGTTGCTGCACCTGTGAACTTTCTGTCTGTGTGGGGCTCACTTCACATGAAGTTCTGCTGAAGGCCACAAGCCCTCGAGATGTATCATGAGACAAGGACTCCACGGCTGAGCAAATCCAGGAAAGTGCCAAAATCACAACCAGAACACTGACGGCAGCGATCGGCATGCACCAAATGTCTGCAGCCGAGACCTCATGCAGCGCCATCAGTGAAACAATCCGCGCAGCTCCTAGGGTTGGAAGTCACTGTGCTAGCATCACCTCGTATCGGGCCATAGCTACATGCATTCTGATCAGAAAACCTGGAAGCACAGATTCCTAACTCCCAGAAACAATCACAAGAAGACCCATCTGAAAATGCAAACTAAATTTGAACCTGCTTTGACCCGCCACCTGCCCAGCCGGAGTTCCGATCAGCAACTGGACTGAACCAGTATCAACAGCAACTGGCACTTCCACACGCAGAAGGGTGGGCCTTGCTCGGCGTTCCAAACTCATCGCATGAACGGGTCAAAGTTGAACCATCTGTGTGTCAGGCTACCAGACCACGCGATCAAATCAATTCACAAAGGACGGCACTTCTCGTCTTTTGCACTGAGCATCTCTATGGATTCGCCGTATATGCTTTCCAAGACCTGTTGAATCGCTACTTGGCTGCAACATATGGATGTGATCACGCGAATTTAAACAAACTCCGGCAATTCTATTCATGTTCGATCGAACTTTCTAATGGCAGCCTCTATTTCTTGGTTCTGAGCATCCGTTGCTTCTGCGGATGTTTCTGACCCACCTTAGCCACACAACATTGAAGCAATACACACAAGGGTCAAGGCTCCGGGTGTCGGACAGAGACTGCGAAGATGTGCCACCTTGAAGTCTTGTTTGAAAGCAAAAAAACATGTGCCCACCACAACATGCAACAGTAGTCGCGTTTGCAAACCCACATACGGTCGCAAAATATTTAAAAATTAATTCACGCAGCCCCAAAGGAAAATACGCACGCCTTGTTGCCAAAGCGGTTGCCTGTCCGAAGGGCAACCTCCACTTTGGTTAGCCCTGGGCCCAGCAACACAAGTACCACACACATTCAACAATCACGCGGCAACATGCAACATTGCCGCCTTCCATGTGCTGATGTGTGCTGCATTCATGGCAGCGATTGTGGCACACAACTCCGGTCAGCAATTAAGGGATGAATTTCCCGGGAGATATGTTTATGTGTCTCTCTCCCTCTCTCTCTCTCCCGATTACTGTCTGAAGTACATTTATCGCAACCTGCATTTGCCACGGCATGGTGGGTCCCAACAGTACATAGCCATATTTTTTGAAAGCAAGGGATTGGAACCAAACCGCCAATATATCAGTCATTTCGTTCACTGTTGTTAACGGTGGTTGCACCGCAAAAGCGTCTCCGAACCAGCAGTGCA